TTACGGCTGAACATCTAATTACAAACACAGACAGATTATGGGTGACCCTTGGGTGGTGGTGCCAGCTGCTCTCAACACGAGCACCACAAGAGTCAGCCTGCCTGCTCAGCCTCCGTTTCGTGCTCCTCATCCTAATCAGCAAACAGCAACACAACCTCTGAATAATCACAGATTTTACTCGGGAGGTGTTTAAATGCAGACTGACTAGAGCTGGGTGACGAGGGCGGGGTGTGGTGTGTTGCAAAGAGGCGAGGAAACGCAGCTTGTTAATGAATGTGTCGGCTGTTATGGAGATCTAATGTGTGACTTTTACCGTATAACAAGACGTGTCTAATCATTTAGATGGAGTCTGCTTGAAGTTTCTGTCATAAGACAATGATTCCAGTGGAAATGAAGTCTGCTGATTATTTTCTTGATTAAATTATTCAATGTTTAGTCTTTAAAGTAATGAGCTGTATCTCTCACAGTTATGCAGAGCCCATGGTGATGTCTTCAAATGTTATGTGTTATCCAAAACCAAAAGATATTCACTTGTGAGTGCTTCTCATAGTGAAGCACTTCACTCGTGTTATCAGAGAACAGCGGTGCTTTTTCATCATCAGGAGGTTCATAAGTCTTGGTGTTATTTCAGTCAAAGCGTTTGATATCTGTACATGTGTACATGATAATAAAGTCCTTTACATTTTTCACAAATGTACGATATAGGAATACTTTTTCAACCAGCTTTGAATCTCAACAATGTAGGTAGTATGTGTAAATAAACTGTGGTAAACAACTTCCCTCCATCTTACCAGTGCCAATGGTAAGATGTGGCAGATGTGAGCTGGCTCTCGGGCTGTTGCTCACACTTTAGATTGTGCTTCCTCATTTTCGTATGCCCGCCACTGTGGACACAAAGAGTATAGAAGTGCTTTGAGAGAGACAGCAGCCCTTCTTTCTCTCTTGAACTCAAACCAAATTAAGATCAGACTTTAAGACTAGGTTGGCTGATGATAGTCTGAGATTCTGTTACTTGGTTGTGTATTTCTCGCTGAAAATGTGTTCAGAAACATATTTTAGCTTACTGCTTACCTGTAATACAAGATCACTTAATGCCAGATGGCCACCATTTTGTTTCCTTTGGAAAAACATACATGCTGGCATTACGTCGCCCACCAGCAGGAGTGTTTATTGGTCCGGTGCAGCACAGTGCATTCTGGTGGTTATAGGTTTTATACCTCTTGAGCAAAAGTGAATGCCACAGCCTGTTATCTCTGGTCATATAGCACCAATTTCAAAGGTATTTGCATCTTTCTCCTGCATAGACAACCTAGTTTTATGAAAACACCATCTTCCAGCAGTGAAGTACTTCTTTAAGAGACATAACAAATGTGTAGCTGAAACGATGAGGCATCAGAACCATGATTTGACACAATTCTAATGGTTTTGGAAATATACCCAGACATATATTGAGGTTACCCTTGTCAATATGCTTATCATAGAAGAGTGGACTATCTGCCTTGGCGGAGGTCTGCGCTCTCCGAGTGCCCTTCCTGTTTAATGAAAAGTATGTTTTCATACTGTTTGAAGATTTTCATTACAGTAATCAACATAATATCATAAACAGAGACAATATTGAGCAAGATGATGGTACCATATACTTCTGTATTAGCGCAAGCCTGTTGGAGCCACAGTTTAGCCAAACAGACACAGGGCTAAATAATGAGGCAGTGTGGGGGGGGTATTGGGCAGCAGAGTCTGTTCCCATGTGCAGGGGGATCAAAGGGCTCGGCCCTGGCAGAAAGGGCCCTGCGGCGGCAAACTACTGCTGCCATAATTGGGGAAGAGCCATGTAAAACTGTCCAGGGGAGGCCAAGGACAGCTTCATTATGTTGTGAAATTTAATTAGCCCTGTGTTGTGTGTGTGCTTCTGCTCTTAACCACATGACCTTGATGTAATGGTGTTTTTGCTGGTGCTTATCATCTATTATGAGCGAACATGGCTGAGGTATGGTTCCATTCACTCTGGTTAAGATGGGCTGGATATGAAATGATTGTCAGAATAGATTATGGTGAAAACCATCAAATACTGGCTCACAATTTAAATCACTCAGAGACAGGTCACTCAGGTGTGTGTGTGTATTTGTGTTGCTTGTGTCCACTTTTTCTGAACTTGACAAGTCTCCCAATTATCTCAGCTTTTCCTGCGGTGAGTGAAACAATAATAGATGTCAGACAGACAGACGGCATTCAGTATGACAGGTTATTTTCATGTTTTTTACTGAGAAAAGTCACCAGGTTGTTTGGCTCACAGCAGGAATAAATACTTGACCTAAATAATTGCTTCATTCTCAACTCATGGAGCAGATCAGGAGGGCACACCTGTAGTATTTAATGCCCATATTTACCCAACAAATAAATACCTTCCTTTCATTTTGTCACACTGTGATGACAGATACTAATCTGGGAAATACAATACAACTGGTGAGTCAGTGCTGTGTTGGAATACTCCAGGGCTTTATCACAAGATTAAACATATATGTTGGACAGATAGTGATGGTGGGCATGTTGAATAGGATTTTGTATTGACGCCAGGATGATATGCATCCAAGTATGCATGCAGAATATCCTTAAACTATCAGAAGAAGAAGACATTCCTTAAGCAAGTATTTCTTATTTGAGTAATTTGGATGGTCCCCTTTACCAAAAATCCAACAAATGGCAGTTCACCAAATTAGCTGATAGTAAATCTCTCTTTGGGCTTAAATGGTATGTTTATACATTCACCAAACATGACATCTAGTGACTGATAGTATCAGACACAATCTGATATCTCTTTTACTGTTTATTTTATTACCAACACTGTACTACATTCACATTATTCAAATACAAGTGTTGTTGCTCAGTCCATAGGGACTCAGGCTGGGAACCAGAGGGTCACCGGCTCATTTCTCACGCAGATTACCATCTAATTGACATTTGTATGTTTATCACATGATATTAAATTTGATATAAAAAACATGAAATAAAAATGGCTGATCAAATTACAGCTGTTTTATTGTGTGGCATTATGTGACCGGGCTTTATCAATTCTCCTGATGAAGGCAGCCTCAACCACAGGTGCTTTTCTGGTGCACTTTCATTCTTTGTCTCTATCACTAGCATCCATAAACTTTGATGAGACTATGTTTTCATTGAGAGAAAATTTTTTTTTTCCCCATCATGCAGCAGCTTCAGGTAGCCAGTTGCAAGCAGGCAGGTTATCGCCATGGATGTATTCTTAGATCTGGATACTGGACCTCAAAATGGTACCTATTCAGTCCAATGGAACTGCTTACCTAGGGGATAAGACAAAAAGGTTTCTAGCTTCTGGTTTTACTTCCATGGGTATGTGCCAAGGAAAAAAGAAGGAAGGGTCATTATATCAGTGACAGAGTTTGAATTTTGCTTTGGTGCCAGACTTTGGTGCTACTTCCACTGACGTTAATGGGGCAAGCTTCGCAAGCCCTACCGTAGCCCGTCATATCTGTGCTTCACCTTTGTCTGAAAAATGTTTCCACACTACGCGATGTTGACTGATGTTTTTTAATCAGAATGTGGTGCCTATTTATTCCAATGAGAACTGCTTGCTTGGCACGTATGCCAAAAAAGTTTCTAGCTTTTGGATGTACTTTTGGGGTATGTGACCAACTGTTAAAGCGCGGTTCTCCTGCTGGCAGAGCCTGCGAGTTCCGGCTTGACTTGTAGACTTTACATTATGATGACGTCACATAATTTCAAATAGTTTTTCTCAGCTCAAGGAAAGTTAAACGATTACAAAACCACAATGATTCAAAAATTCATAATGGAAAGAATTGTTGAATTGTTTTTCCATGTGTTGTTATGTATAAAAGGCCCAAAAGGAACACTGCAAGCGGACTACTTGATTACTGAGAGTGAATTACTTAGTACAGCATTTTTATAGGAATGATTCTGTCCTATCCATATAAGCTGCTGATCTCTGTTACTGTGATCAATATAAGCGGTTTCCACTGTACTGGAATGAAAATGAAAGGCAACAGGCTATTTAAAGATCATTACAAGGCAGGTTGATAAAGACAATACAAGGCTATAAAATCTAAAAGCCTTTAGAAATTGAGTTAAAGGGTAATTCAAAGTGTCTTGAATTAAACGTACTTGTGTTTAGGTTTTATCTGTGTGGCATGTAAGATGTGTATGAATGTGGTGTAACTTCAGATGTAGTTGATATTTTCTGTGGCAGGGAGCAAGCTGAACAATAAGGGTACATGATGAGTTTTTCTCATATGTGGGTGATGTTTATGATGATGAATTTCCCTTGTGTGAAGCTGTTTCTTGTGGGGGGTGATGGGTAAATCAGTTCGAGAGTCACTCCAGCATGGCTTTGTCTTAAATGGCTTTGCAGGATTTTCTCTAAATATAGACATGCATCATCGTTAAATGAGTAACCGCGAGTGTTATGATCTATAGTGTCTCTGAAGTGGTTTTCTATTTATATTGGTCATTATTTCAACTCCCTGGTGCTCTGGGTGCTGAACTTCTGGGCATTAATCTCCAAAACATGCAAGGAAGTGAGACAGATAGCTCACAGTGACAATGGGTCAGTGGCAGTGTTTATTTTTCTCGCATTTAAATGTTTCGTCGTGAATAATTATCATAATAAATAGCATAACCGTTTATAGAATTGGATATCCTGCCTATTTGTTTTGCCTGTTGGAGAGCACAAAGGCTTTGCTCCAGCAGTCAGCAGTGAAATAATGATTCATGCCACATTCAGGTCAAGCAGTGTATTGTGAGCACTCTGTCTGCATTAGCTTTAAGGAGTATGCATGCTTTAAATTACTGAGCAACTATTGTTCTTATGCCCTGAATTTCTGAAGTGTGTTGTAGCATTAAATTGAAATTATCCTTGCTGTCTTTTGATGTGAATGTTTCTAGTATGTTCTTACAGGGTGAAAGAGATTCAAGGGTTTTAAAAGCTTCCTCTCCTCCTCTTTTCTCAGGCGTTGGACCAGGACCGAACCTCCCTGCAGAAGGTCAAGAAATCAGTGAAGGCCATTTACAGTTCAGGACAAGGTGAGACTGTCTGTTTCTAAATATATCAGGTCTGAATAGCTGATGGTTGGGTACGTGCTCACAACTCTTTCCAAGCCCACGAATTCTTAAATATCTTTAATAAAGATGAGGATTGCATTTTTTGGCCTGGAACATTGCCTTTTGTGGGACAGATGGTGTTTTGTGTGTGTGTTTTCAGGCTGTCCCAGAAACCAACACCTGAGTTTGTTTTGCTCGTTGCTGTGACATGGATCCCCAGTAATTTTCCACTGAATACTTTTGAGAGCAGCCTCCTCCCTGTAAATTGACAGTTTCAGATGCTTGACCCACAAAAAAGTTTGTTTGTTCTCCGCAGAAAAGACAGTTTACCTTTCTCAGTGTGGATGAGAAACTTTTAAAGTCTCAAAACAACTGGAGCAAGTGTTTTAATCAGTCAGCCACTAGCTTGGATAATTAGTTACCTCGGCTAGATGAAGTTATAGTGAGACAAATACTGTGTGTGATCTAAAAATAGAGATAAGAATGGGATGTTTGTGCATCTCGCAAATGTAATGAATAGTTAGACTCAGGGCTGGAGCCAGGAGTTTAGAAACACAGAGGTTATGAGTCCCTCCAACACACACAATCCTCCAACAACTATATGCTGTTTAAGTTATAGTCCTTCAAAAGGACCTATTATGTACATTTCTAGGTTTATACTTGCATTTTAGATTTCTAATAGACCATGTTCACATGCTTTAATGTTAAAAAACCCCACACTTTATTTTCCTCATACTGTCAGCGCTGGAACTCCTGTATTCACCCTCTGTTTGAAATGCTCCGTTTTAGCATCTGTCTCTTTAAGACCCCCACCTGAAAAAAGCCCTGTCTAGTCTCATTGGTCAGCATTTCTGGGTCTTCCGCATCTGTGCTCTTGGTATACTTGCACCGTCATTGCAGCCAGGGAAAGCCTGTAACAGAGTGTACTCCTAAACCTAATACACTATATAGAGAGATAATTACTAAGTGTTAATACATCAAATAGGCAGCACGGTGGTGCAGTGGTTAGCAATGTCGTCTCACAGCACGAGGGTTCCTGTTTTGAACCCAGGATGGGGGTTTTGAACTCTAGGGTGGGGGGAGCCCTTCTGTGTGGAGTTTGCATGTTCTCCATGTGTCAGCATGGGTTTTCTCTGGGTACTCCAGCTTCCTCCCACAGTCCAAAGACATGCAGGTTAATTGGTGACTCTAAACTGTCCGTAGGTGTGAATGTGAGTGTGAATGGTTGTCTGTCTCTATATGTCAGCCCTGTGATAGTCTGGTGACCTGTCCAGGGTGTACCCTGCCTCTCGCCCAATGTCAGCTGGGATAGGCTCCAGCCCCCCGCGACCCCCAACAGGATAAGCAATTACGGAAAATGAATGAATGAATAATACATCAAACAGCTATTGTGGGAAAATCCAGATTATTAATAGTATCAAAAATGGGACTTGATTCCAGGACTAAAATTGGAAAACAAAAATACTAAATCCTTTTATATATCAAATTTATGTTGGGCCAGAAAATACCCACCTTGTGTAGGATTTTCAATGGTATAATGTTGACTAAAAAAATGTCGCTAAAAAAAGAGAAAATCCAGAGAAATTACACGAAAAGACAGAACATACAAAGAAGAAAAATGCAAAACAATACAAAGGACATGACCTCATTGTCGTCAATGGTAACCACAGCCCTGTTTGGACTGTATTTGAGTTTCCAGTATGATGAAAGTTCAAAATGGCTGCTGCAGGGATAAACTCTACAGGGTGCTCGTCTCACCTCACCTCCCTCTCAGGACTCTTCCTCAGATTTGGCAACAGTCTGAGCATCCCTCCCCCACCATCTCTCACTTAACGACAAGGACAGATGGATGCTGCTGTTTGACTGACGGCTCCCTCAGAGTCTCGCAGACCTGGAGAGCCACACATCTTGTTATGCTGACATTTGCTGTGTATAAACATGACTTATTACAGTTAAAATTTATAAAACAAAGCCTCTCTGGAGCAGCAGTGATCAGAAATCACAGGCGAAGGTCACATGTGTCTGTTATTGTATTGCTTGTACTGCTGCACTGATGAAGGAACTTTCCATTGTAGGATCTGTCAGCTATTTCTGCCACATCTGTGTTATTATGAACATCACTAGGAGATCTTAGAAGATTTATAAGCCCATTTGTTCCACGTGTTTTTGCCACTGTTGCTGTTGAGAACAAAGAGTGGTGTATCACTGAAATATTTTCTTATCCTCAGCCCCCTTTCCTGACCTTTCTTTTACTTATAATCTCTACTTGTAAAACCATTGGTAGACCTTGTTTTGGATATTTTTATATGTAGAGCTGCTAAGTTAACTGGGCCTGATATAGATTTGTTGGAAGACATTTTGAAACAAAAAGCTTCTTCAGTGTTGACTGACGTGAGGAGTCACAATGGACAGTTTTTTTTAAAAAAAAGGGCCAAAATTGATGCAGGAGAACCAGAGATATTGTCTTTTTTTATTTCATTAATTCGTCAAAACCAGCCTCCTACAAAATGCAACTCAAACATCGACAGTTCAGTCAGAGATTCAGGTGCATTATACCAGTAGCAGCTAACGTAGCCTCGAGCCGCTAGCCTCAAGCAGAGATGAAGAAGGGGCTACGCTGATCATCTTTCCAACCCACTTAAAATAAAACTGTGCCTAGTGGTTTCAGATGCGACAGGTCATGTCGACAGGGCAGGGCAGGGTGTTTTACCTGCTGCACAGACTCTTTCTTTATAGTGATTGTAGTGGATCATTTAACAACAGGATGTATTCATTTGATTGACTTATCTTAATGTGGAATAAAAAAAACAACCACATTGCTTCTGGTACATTGAGGTATTCGTTCATACCATTTTTAACAGATTGTACTGTTTTACACAATTCTATGTACTTTTTACCTGAGTGCTGCAGAGCCGCGCAAAGAGAAAATAATTAGGTCAACTGGGTAAAATTAACATAGAGCAGTGCGGTCACCTTGCGGGCAAGCGGGGGTTCCGTGTTCAGTGTAGCAACTTCAGTTGAATGTAAGGACGGACAGGCTGCAGCAGACGTGTTGTGCTTCGACCGTGTCCAACGTATTTTGTCCGCAACTCCACACCTCCAGATTTATGTCATTTTCAAACATGTAGTCTTCAGACCCAGCTGAATTTATCAGATTTTGCAGCTCCCTCTGGAGCCACAAAAGCCTTTATTAAACTTTTTTTTCACATATTCATTAGCACTCCCAAAGACCTGTGAATGGACTTTGATGTGCAAAATTCCCCTTTAATCTCTGTAGGATCTTTCACACTCTGAGAGTTATTAAGGTCACAGTTGGATTGCCACATGCAGAAGAAATGTATTTGATTGTTTTTGCCATTTTGGTTGATGGGACTCAGTGTGTCGGAATAAACATCAACTGGTAGAGGAGGGTGTGATTGGAATTTTTTTTATACTGGTTCCTGAGTCATGGCTCCAATACTAGTCAAACCCTTTATTACATTGCTCCCAAAGTCCTGATTTTTTTTTTTTATTCACTCAATATCATTTATTAAAGTTTAACAAGGAGGAAACAGCAGCATAAAAACCCAGTTTTTAAACAGTAAATCTTGAAATGTGTAACAGTAATCAACATCTTAAGCCAAACGTGATTAAGAGCATAAACCCTAATTATTTGGTCAATTAGACAGTTTTAATTTAAGATCATGAGGAACAAAGGAAAGTTCATGTCTTTTGGTCCTACTTGTGGTGCTACGAAGCAAAGCAAGAAAGTGAAAGTTGAGGCTGCAGGCAGGAAACCGTGCAGAGGTGATGAACTGACTTTGAGTATGTTTCTGAGGGCGCACAGGGTGGCCTCATCTCGCCTCTCACTCAGTGATCAGAGAGAAGAATGTAGATGATCCTGAAGCACTGTTTTGGTACCCCCTCTAGCTTCTTGGATAGGCCTTTTGACAGCCCAGACCAAAATGGGCTGGAATACTCAATGATTGGGCCAATGAAGGTCAGGTATATTTGGCAGCTCTTTTGGCAACACTGAGGTAATGGATCCTTGGCTGTGTCTTCCAGAACATATATTTATTGTGGGCATCCCATAACAGATCAGATGATTGCCAAACTCCAAGCAGTTGAAAGGAGGAGATTTTTCTTTATGTTTTGACCAGAAAGTGTTGGAGATGGAGGATGTTGTCCTCTTTCCTGGCGCTGATTATCATATCGATGGTCTCAGCTCCATTCATTGAAAGTGAAAACTCTTGTCCCCATTCAGCTACAGAATCCAAGCCCCTCTGAGTCAGACCAAAAGGAGACTTCATCAGGAGCTCTGTAAATATAAGGTCATTCGCATATTTCACAGGGATAAAAGAGGGAAGGAGACATGAATCCAGGCTGTTGATGCCTGGCCTTAGTACATTTTTTTCTATTGAAAAAGCCATACTTTTCAAACATTGAGGGCCCTATTTAGAGGGCCCTATTTAGATGGTCTAAAACGCAAAGCGCCAGGCGTGTGGCACATGGGCGTGTCCCAGTCACTTGCTAGTTAGACAGCGCGTTTTCAGACTGTGCGCCATGGCGGAGAGTCTAAAAGGGTTGGACTTACTCTGAATTAGTCATGGGTGTGTTTTGGGCGTATCATTCAATAAGCCAATCAGAGTGTCACCTCTCATTCCCTTTAAAAGAGGCGCACGGCAGAGAGCTGGTTAGATGGCGGACCTACCAACTGGAAAGAGTGAGCGTTTTACAGCTGAGGAGACGATAAATGTATCTCTATATCGACTGTCCTGTCACATTTGATGTCAGATCAAAGGGGATTGGCACCTTTTGGCACGCGTAATGGAAACCCAACCTGATTTGATTAACACAGCTGCAATCTAATAAGTTCACATCCCTCTCAGCCACAAACAGCCACAGCATCAGATAGGGAGTATATATTCAGCATCTGTCATCTTAGAAAAGTCAAAAGAAAAGAAACAGAATGAGACTGCGAGAGAGAACGAGAGAGCGCGCGCGCATGAGAGAAACGCTGTTTTAACCCAGGAGGTTAGAGAGCCCAGCTCCCTCTCCAGCATCCTGAACCCCCCCGCCTGAAGGTGCAGGAAGGGCTGCACCCGGGCCCGTCTGGTCTGGCTGCGCGCTGGCTGCGGAGCTGGGGTCATCCTCCTCCTCCTCCTCCTGACAAGATGATCTTCAGTTTTACGTTCTAAAAGCTTTTTTTTTACACATACATTTGTACTTGTAGGGCTATAAGTTTACGTTTTTAGTTCACAGAAGCTGGTTATTGTTGTGTTTATGTCATAATAAAGTTTATCAAACGTTTTCACATCTTTGATTTTGTGATTTACATGCCAAAATGATCACAATTCAATTGGGAAAGACAAGTTCATTTTACAGGCTATGCATGATCAGCCCGTGGAGGTCTGCTCGCAGTTGCGTATATTCGGACACTGCGAGCTTGGACCTCCCGGATTATGATGACCATTATTACTGCAATTAGATCATTCTGATTAATGACTGACCATTAAGACGTGTTTCTGATGAATATTTTAATGTGCACAATAATAACCTTTCACATTGTAATCATATTTTTATTTGTTATCTTTTGCATATGTGTGGCTGCTCCGTGTGTGTCTGAGCAGAGTGCACCCGTCTAGAGACGCGTATTACTAACTTGTTTAACAGCGAAATACTGCCCCGTTGACTTTAGACCAGGTTTTTGTTGGTCACTGGCGCATTTGCTTTTTATGTCATCTAACTAGCAACGCGCCATGACTGCGCCTGACCACTCCTCATTTTTAGACCAACACACCCAGAGAAGCGCAAGTTCATTTGCTAGTTAGACAAAGAGGGCGCAGGGCGTGAAAATGGCAACTGCGCCTGCATCTAAATAGCAATGACACTTGCGACATGGATTATGCGCCCTCCGCCGTCCGCTTTAGACCATCTAAATAGGGCCCTGAATGTTTAAACACAAGCAGTGTTTTACAAGAAGAACAACAACAAGATAGACTTTATTAATCCCTAAGGAAAAAATTAAGTTTTTTTCACTCTGTCATCATATACACACAGGCCCGAAATACACACACATGCACAAACAGGATCTATAAGCATTAAATGGAGAGATGTCAGAGCGAGGGGGCTGCCTTGGACACGCGCCCTGAGCATATGTTGATTGCATTAATTGTCCCTGTGATTCAGAGCTATGATTGGGCCCAGTACATCAGGCCTGACCTGACATGAACCCAAATATTTTGACCTGAGCCTTAACCACAGCAGCAGTTTTTGTGCCAAAAATATTTGAATTGCCATTAGATTAAAACATTTATTACAAGCTAAAGCAAGCTGACGTTTTTTTAGTGGGGTAACCGACATTTGTGACACAATCTCCGACATTCTCCTTATCATACCGAATGTTCAGCACAGCCCAAAGACTGTCATATGCCATGTATAAAATGGAGATTGCATAACATTTCTCCTCATTAATGAGAGGTGGGAGTTGGGATGGGTTGATGGCGACACAGCCCATACGTTTTTATAGAGGGGGGCGAAGGTATTGAAATAGAGCCACTGAATGAAACCCTACTATCCAAAAGGACTTAACTTCAGGGCGGTGGCAAAGGATATGAATCAAAGTTCCATACATTATTCAGGACGTTACACAGACTATGAGGTCTACGACAAAAAACAGCCCGGCATGGCCCAAACCCGGCAGGTCAGGAAGGGCCCGATCAAGTTCAGGCAGAGAATCAAAGCTCTACCTTGACTACCTTTGTGACTGTAGCACTTGCAGTATCCCACATGTGTTGGCCACTTCACATGCTAATCATGCTAATCATTAAGCAGAGTCCAGGGAACATAAACTGACCAGTGGTTCAACCTCTGTTCTCTGTTTCCAACACAGACCACGTCCAGAATGAAGAGAACTACGCTCAGGCTCTGGACAAATTTGGCAGCAACTTCATCAGCCGGGACAACCCCGACCTGGGAACGGCCTTCGTCAAGTTCTCCTCCCTCACCAAGGAGCTGTCTGCCCTGCTGAAGAATCTGGTGAGCTCAACATGTCAACACGTCTGATGTCATTAAAATGAACAGCCTGTCGTACAGAGCGCTCTGCATTTGTGTGAGTGCTAGTCCTCACATGGATAGAAAGAGGGAAATTCTTCATAAAGAGTTTATTTTTTCCTGTCTTCTATAAGTGGTTTAGGATTTGGGTTTAAGGTTAAGATTAGGATTAGGACAGTGGTCAGGCATGTAGTGGAGAAGCTGAAGAGGTTATTGATCAATGTAGTCAGTAAAAGCTTGACAAATGTAATAGAAGAGGTGTAGGTGCCTACAGGTTCATCTGTCTCAACACTTTTAAAAACTGTTTAAAATTTGCCCACACAGTCAGAACCGTCATCAAAGTCAGACAGTATAGCTGACTGCAGCTATATCCACCTCCGAGCTTTGTATTTTTTTTCCAGCCGAGGCTCTTATCTGCCTGCCGTGGATTTCCCCTGACGTTTCTGTTGAATAATGTGTCCTGTTTGAATCCTCTGTGAGTGATTGTTGTTGGAAGAAGAGCCAGTCTCCGCTCTCTCCCTCTCTTCCTGTGTGGCTGACAGCAAGATTAGACTCCATAAATACACTTGGCAGCACCAGGAACAACTGTGTGTGTGTGTGTGTGTGTGTGTGTGTGTGTGTGTGTGTGTGTGTGTCCATAAACCTTCCTAAATCACCCACTTGTTGGTGCTACCTGCATATTGCAGGACAGTGAAATTGTCTGTACACATTCCTCTCTTAGTCTCTCCTTTTCTCTCCCTCTTGACTATTCCATTTTGAGTATTTTATTCAGTGAGTCTTTTCAGACTTCAATAACTGCGCCCCAAGGGCTGCTGGTATGTGCATGCTCTACAAATGAGAATTGATGAATAGTGCTTGTCCTGGATGTCCTACATGTGTTATCGGCTTAAATTTAAGGATTTTATAGACAAATCTGGCCGCGTTGTTGCCAACTTTTCAGCATCTTTCTCAGTGGTAATTTCCTCTTTGAGGATCTTATACTTAAAGAGACGTTGCCCGCTTCCAGGATGGGCTGTTAGGCCACACCGGCAGCCGGCCAGTACAGGATTGATTTTGACGTTGGCCATATGCAAGACAGGCACTTAAGAAGCACATTAGCGCCCATTAAGCGTTGTTTGCTTCCTTGACCGCTGCTGTGTGTCTATGTGGGCTTGGCTAACAACAACATGGACTTAAATGCTTAGCACTGTAGTAAATGACCTTGCTGATCCTAATGGTTAGAGCTGCTGATCATAACTGTGGCAACCTGAGCTGTTGGCAACAAGCTTTTGCTAATTCTTCAATAGACTAACTTGCGCTTTTGCTATTATGTTGCTGATTTCTTCAGTCAGCAGCAGCATGGCTGTGTTGATGCATTGCTCTGTAGGTGAAAGGTTAAGGGCAGCGTTATTCTGTATTTTTTTTCATCGTCCACAAATCCCATTAACAGACCAAACCCAGTGCTTTCGGTGCTTCATTGTCACCATTACTCGAACCCAAATCTATTTGTTCTCACTGCAGATTTAATTCTTTAAAGCTGCTCTAATCACATTATTTTATATTGATAATGGATAAAATGACAATATGGAATGAGGCTTGCCAAAGTATTGTGTTACCAGTGTTACAGACATACAAAGATTACACAGCGATTACATTACTTACCCACCACTCCTACTGTTGTTTTACTTTTTTTAAAGAAAGAATAAAATCCATTTTGCTCATGTTCATCAAGTTTAAAAAAACCCCTGTAATTTGTGAAATACGTAGTGTGTTATTAACACTTAGTCAGATGTGGGACGCCACCATTATAAACTGAAAGTGTCTCCTACGTAAAGCGGCAGCTGAGTCGCAGCACAGAGTAGCAGGAGTCAAATTTCACTTAATCATGTGAAAAAAGTAAGGAGAGTTGACGACAACATGATGATGATTATGATTTGGTGTCAAAGCATAAAGTAAAAGCGCCTATTAACCAATATATCAGATTTAAATCCAAAACTAATAGGCACCCTGATAACGACAATGAGGCAGTCTGTAAAAGTTGTCTGATGAGGGTGAAAGTCTCTGGAGGCAACATCTCTAATCCACACATCACAAGAGCGAGGCTGCCAAAGTGGCCCTGCAACGAATGTAAGGAGTAGATCTAAAGATCTAACGTTTAAGATCAAAGTAAGCACTCTAAAGATATTGAGTGTCAGTGGAAACATTTCCCCACGCTGGCATCCCCATATGGAATAGGGAAGGGGTCACCTGAAGTGCAAACTCAAAGAGAATCATCACCTGACTTTGCAGTTTCCCTCACCTGTATGTAGCACTTTAGCATCTTTCAGCTCATTGTTTTGGTTTTATTGCCTGCAACTTCTGTAATGTTTTGGTTCACTCTTACTGCTCTTATTGTGTCAGAAGTCAGCTTTGTTAAAACCCAAAGTTAGCTACCTGTTCAGCACCAAATGAAAGATGGACAAAGTTAGCAACTAGCCAGATGACACAGAGAAACATTTAGCAGCTCAAGAGTCAGATATTTCTCCCAGGAGCTGATTGGAAAAACAAAGCTAAAAAGAGCGGTAAATGTCTGACTGACATTTAACAGGTGACCAGACTCCAAATGAAAGTTCATGTTGCTCTGTAGTTGCTGGATGTGTGAATAGACGGGTGTTTGCTAACATATTTGCTATAATGACTTAATAAGGCGATAATATGTCAGTGTTGTGTTTACAGCTTGTTCTGCTGGCCCCAGATGGTGCAAAAATAAGTTAATGCTGCTTTGGTAAATGGACTTGTGCTTGTGTAGCGCCTTTCTTGTCTTCGCACCACTCAAGCACTTTCACAACACGTCACATTCATCCATTCACAGACGTTTATACAGTGATGGCCAAGGCTACCATACAATGTGCCACCTTGTATATATTACTATTACTTAACCATTCACATGGACTCACAATTTGGGGTTCAGTATATTGCTGAGGGACTGGACTGGAGTTCAAACCACCGGTTTTCTGATGAGTGGACGACACGCTCTACCTACTGAGCCACAGCTGCCTGCTTTAAAAATGAGCCACAGTTATGCAGTTTCATTTTTTTTTAGCAGGTGTGAATTATAGTTTTTAGCAAATGTTACTAAAACAGGAATAAGTAGTGCATTTACTGGAAACTACTTTCAGCTGCAGCTAAATACACATTTGGGGACCTACTGACTATTTAGAACAACAGGACAGTGCAGACAGACAGATGGATAGAGAGAGACAGACAGGCAGACAGACAGATAGACAGATGTACGTCATTAATCCCAAGTTGGGAAATTCTTTCGTTACAGTTGCAGATACACATATCACACTAGAAGAGAAAAAAATATGTGTCAATAGAAGAGTGAACCTCAGCATACATTTAAGAATAAGATACATATGTATAGATTATTTTTCTGGAAATGACAGTACCAGCGTTCGTGTAAATGCCGTCGCCCAGTAGACACGTGGATGTTTTTTTGATTTTTTTTGGACAACAATGTCACAGGAGTGAGTTATATCAAGCGTCTGCCGCAGAGACAACACTGGTTTGTAAGATCAGCCTTATCTTACAAAGAATCTGCCTTTGTACTGTGTTATGATTTGTTATCTATATTTTCTTGTGACAACAGCTGCATTATAACCCCCTGTGTGTTCTGTGTGTCCTCTCACAGCTCCAGAGCCTCAGCCACAATGTGATCTTCACTCTGGACTCGCTGCTGAAGGGCGATTTGAAAGGCGTGAAAGGGGTAAGATTTACTGTAAAACAGTTTCTGTTCCTGACTTTTTTTTCCGCTCTCTCTTGACCCTCCCGTGGCACCGCTCAGCAGGACAGGAGACATAGATGCCTCGTCAGCACATCTCTCTATTAATCTGTATGCTGAGTGTAAGCGAGAAGAGACCACAGAGATGGGGGAGAGCTCTCTGTTTAAAAGCTCACACTGTAAATCTTGCAGAAGTAAACACTGCCTTTGTACTGTGCTTGAGGCGAGTGGCGAGTAACTGGGTCATGAACCATTGATGTTTGGGGTTCAAAAGGGGGCGTGGTCACTCGCTCACCTTCCAGGGCATAAATTGTGAGCAAAGCGAGGCGTTTGCAGAACTCTGCAAGTAACTCCGTCCCCACGGTGACCCCTCTGCAGTTTGCTGATGCTTGTTCTCTTGTGTCTCTGCAGGACATAAAGAAGCCCTTTGACAAAGCATGGAAAGACTACGAGGCCAAGTTGTAAGTGGATAATTAAAGTTCGCTGTTGTAATACAGCATACTTTCACCATCCAGCTCATTACAGAGCACTGAATAATGGATCAAACACTGTTGATAATGTGCTGCAATATTGTTTGTACCCTCTGGAAAACATTGCACACATTGTAGAACAACAAACCTGCACACATGATGCAAACGAAGACACAGCCAGTAATTGTCTTCTCCTCTGTGTCAGTACAAAGATCGAGAAGGAGAAGCGAGAGCACGCCAAGCAGCACGGAATGATCCGCACTGAGATCACCGGGGCTGAGATCGCAGAGGAGATGGAGAAGGAACGGCGTCTCTTCCAGCTCCAGATGTGTGAGGTAGGTTGTAAAAAGAAGCTGTAGGACATTTGTGGTTGTCTTCTCTGCAGTAATCAAGCATCAGAGCAGCCCACTAGGCCCTGTAACAGCAGGTCACAGGTTAAATTCCCACAGTACAGCATTGTGTATCACTTGGGATTGTAAAAATGACCTTCGTGTTTATGTTGTGGTAGGTTGTGGTCAGAAAAGACAGCTTCCTCGTTTCAGTAAAAGCGTTTGCAGCAACCACTTGTAGTGTCATCTGACATTGCCTGCATGGTCAGGGTCGCTACTCAAAAAAGTAATGTATTACATGTTACTTGTCACTTTAAAAAAAAGTAAAGCCTTACTTAACTCAATTAATCCCCGTAGAAAGTAATTTGTGACACTACTTGTCACATTACTTTTGTGTTACTCTGCAACATCGCCTGAGATGCATTGTCATGTAATTGCCAGTTAACAAAAGCCCTTTATACACAGAGGATGTACAATAAGGCTGCTGCGAAGTCATTACCCTGACTGTGCTTTTGTAAACAGACAAAGGAAACAAACTGCCCTTGTTACGTGGTGGTGATCTTGTCCTCTGCTCTGAGGGTAAGGAGCTCTCGGACCTCATTATCGGCCCAATTTGCAAACATTAAGCAGCTGCTATTCTTCCTCTTCTTGGAGTTAGCTGCTAACTGCTTCTAGCTGCTTTTTGAATCTCCCAGTGGTGGGTTGCACAAATAATATGTTGTCAAAACATCACAGCCATCCTGTTCTGCTGGCTGTCCCTTTTACAGAGACATTGATTTAGCGATGTTACTACCTTCGCTGCTGGCTTTAAGGCAAGAAAACTCTAACTTTCCCTTGTACCTTTTATACAGAACGATGAGGCGGGACATTCTCACCTTGAACAGGCAGTGTAAAAGGGGCCAATATAACATTAAACAATATACCTCTGAAATTGTTATTCAGACAACCTGTTCCTCCTCTTGAGTCAGCACAATTTTTTGTAATTACTTTGACATCTTTAGGCATTATAAGATGTTTTAAGATACAGGTGTTCGATAGGTAACCATCCAGATGTGTCAAATGCAGTCTTTATACATTATAAACCACTGTGCAGTGTTTCAGTGTCAAACTCATGGGTCTATCACCCAAAACTGTCCTTCCCGGATCGTGTTTCCTCTTCTCGTTGCAGCAGCACTGCTCCACCATCGCAGTGCTATTTTTGGTGTGAGCACTCACTTATTAAGGTCCTATATGTATATGTATGTAAAGTCTTCCTTACCAGCTGCACTTGGAGATTTTAAGCTTGAGTAGATTTTTTCTCTCAGATGATTTAAATAATTTATAGTATGTCTTTAACACTCATGCAGCTCCACATGTAGGGATTACAGCAGCCCCAAAAGATACAGCTGTAGCTACATTAATTCATGAGCAAGGTATGTCTCAACACGAGACTTAAACTGGTTGTTATGATGATTGTATGTCAGTGGATATCATGATTTAGAAAGTATAACACTGAACATCTCACGTAATGAGTATAAGTCAGATATTTGAGCAGCTTGCACTAAAGAGTCAAACTGTTTGCCTTTAATTCAAGTGTTTTCAGATGTTCCTCTGGTTCTGTAAACTTGTTTGCTTCTAAGCATGTTGTGACACTGTTTGATTTCTCTTTGGTATTAACGTTCAAAGACTAACGCTTAAAGAAATCTGACAGCTAGAATTAAGTGTAAAACAAATGTGGGCTCTCTGTGTGCCCAAGAGAATCAGAACAAACTGTTAGAGCTCACTCCGATTTGCCAAAAACCTCTCTAGTGGTGGGTGGTGACGCCTACGCCTTGTTCACTGTTTTATCCTGTTAGGATTTTTTACTCAAATTACATAATGGACCAATGGCTGTTGCACTGCTGTTGGTTGTGTGAATTATTCACTACAGAAACTTGCTGCAGTCCTTTTGTGCCCTGCTACACTGATCTGCCCTCTTCTCACAGTGACTCAGAGAGGTTTCCTCGCCCACATTTTCCACCTGTGTTCTTATTCTATTACAGACCACGTTTTTAATTAAATCAGGTTTATTTACATTTACGTTTTTTAGGCAGTGCTAAACACAGACAAGGGGAACAGATAATAATACAACTGGATCATACCTATGTTCTCAGGGTCCGCTGTCTCTTGATAAAAACTGAAATTGCAAGAGTTTAAGGGCTTTCAGCCCCACAGCAAAGTGATATGAACTTTAGATTGCAGTTTGAAAGGTAAAAATTCCGTTCAGCCATTGCAACGATATCCATGTTTAAAGTCAGAGAAGGCGTAGGTGTCACAGAGTATAACATCACTTTGCTTTAAGCTGTAGGTGGGTGATTTCAACATATTGACCTAAGGAAACATACACTGAACATTTGACCTCAGGAAAAAACCTTGCTGAGAACATAAAACCCTTTCATGAAAGGTTTCCTTAATGAGTCATATTAAGAGGTTATTGAGCTGGGGAACACAGAACCTTGGAAGCATAGGTACGCTCCCAATATGAGATGGAAACAAGTCTGCAGCCATGCTAGCAGCTCTGTGAAGCTATACCAGGTCCCCAGGCACACTCATAAGCCTTGCACTTTTTTCCCAGTGGTCACTTGCAGTATTACAATAAAATCCCCTGTGGCCCAAAAAGCATTTTCCCCATAGACTCCAATTGTAAAAGAGTAAAACAGTTGACAGGACACCTCCAGCCTCCAAAGGTCAATTATGAATCTCTCTGTTCTGAATTTTTGTGACATGATCCCAGTGCAAAGTCTCTGAGCTGATAGAAGCTCTTCTAGAGCCTCGCAGTGCTGGCCTGGTATATGTGGTACCTTCTTTCTGACCTCAGCAGGGAGAAAAGGGTATTATCTGAGTGGTTGGGATCCTTAATGATTCTCCTAGCCTCATTCTTGCAGTGCCTGGTCCAAACATCCTCAAGGGTAGAGCAGTGCCTAATAAATATTCAGCCAAATGAACCACTCTTTGCCGGGGCAGGGCCTTGTGCTCCTGTTTGGTGCTGTTTTCGTACCAGGCAGTGCTGTTCTCCGTCAGGATGCTCTCGATGGTGCAGGAATAAAGATTTCTCAGTATTTGAGGGCATTTTGTCACTCCTAATGTCACATTTACACTGGCATTTACACAAATCTGTCGTGTTAAAGATCAGTGGGACATCCACATGGCCCGTTGCAGAGCCTGCAGCAAATCAATAAAAGTTCACAGCATGGGCGAAGCAGCTTTGACGAGCCATGCTGCTGGCGCATCACACAGGACGGCACTCCACATGTTAACAGTAATTAACCTTGATCCATGTCTCAAACTATGGGTACTTGAATTGAAGAGAACTGGGCCTGAAAAGTCCTTGAATTTAATGTTGAAGAAGGTTTGGAAACCCTGCTAAGTACTGTGAAGGTTGATGGGAATGTCATTAGTTTTGCAGGTAGTCATAAAATCAACAACATCAGTAGCGACTTAAAAAATGACTTCACCAAAGTTATTGCAGGAGTACAAATCTGCTGCCATCCAATAAAAAGCTCTCATCTCAAACAGCAATTTATCCCTCTCAGTAATAGTTCCTAGGAGGCCAGTTGCTGAGTTGCTTGGTTGCTGTGTTCAGACCATTTCAGCAGAGTGCCTGGAGAAGGGAGCACAATTTCAGACACTCTTAAATGAAATATTATTGTATCACATAGATTTATAGGGCAAAAGTTTATATTAATAGATTACTATTCATGGGCTTACTTGTGCTTGATAAGTTTTGGAGGATGTAAATAGGAAGTATAATGTTGCTCTGGATTAATCATTTGCAGAACTTTGCATGTTCGTGCTCTGTCTTACAGCATGATGCTGATGTGTTGTCCTTGTAGGACTGCACGAGTCCTCTGAACAGTGCCTGTTGGTTGTTCTAAGATAAAAACAAAAGGCCTTTGTGGTTTTGGCCACTTGTTACTGCACCAGCCTCACTGTAAATGGTAGTTAGATGACTCTGTGGTTTCAAGGATTTGCCCTAAAAAGCACTTAAGGGCTCTATTATAAGCACATAATTGACCTGTTTCTATACATATATGATGTGATAGTTTCAGGTCAAGGGAAGTTCAGTGTTCAGACCAAAAATAATGAGTTTGGGAAACCAGATATCTCACTAGCTGCTGCTGTATTTATGGAGTGTTTTCTAGTGATCCTCACTGTCAAAGCACTTTAGAGAGGAGCTTGTTAGGCCGCAGGAGTTTAAATTGTTATCACTGTACCTCAGTATTGCACGCTATGATGATTTACACTAAAACAATGTAAATTAGTCAACTGTCAGAGATCTTGTTATTCCATATGTCATGGTAGCTACCCCAGTAATATCCTCAGTTGAATTTTTGCCATCAATAAGCAGGATAGGGCTATGGTAATATATATAGATTTTTGCATCGATGCAGCAGAGTTTCTTGATTTATCAGGGAATTAATTAACTGGGTTTGCCAAAACTTTAGTCCATGTCTGGATATTTTGAGTTTATTATGAAGAGAAATTACTTTACTGAGATAAAAGAGCTGAAACAGTTACTGCAACTATTATGTTAATCAATCAATCAATCATTTGAGTAGAACTTTGTTAGAAATGCCAAACATTTTCTGGTCCCCTTTTATGCTGTATGAACAGATTTGCTGCCCTTTGAAACCTCCACACTGGCGACAGATGTGACTGGAGGCAATATGTTTTTTGGGGCTGTCCTTCCATCCCATTCTTGTGAACAGGTTATCAGGAATGCTTTGTAGGAATTTTTCTCAAATTTGGCACAAACGTCCACTTGGTCTCAAGGATGAACTGATTATATTTTGCTGGTCAAAGTTCACTGTGACCTCACAGAACATGTTTCCACACAGAAATATAACAGATAAAGTGGTGACACTTCATATCCAAAAGGTCAAAGGTCAACTTCACTGTGACATCATAATGTTCTACAAAACTACTGTTTAGTGTCATAACTCAGGAACAGAAGGGGAGACATTTTGTGAGATACTGAATTGGTGACTCTTTTCTTGGGTGTCCACCTTGTTATTGTGTATAGATCTTCTGTGCTGCGTGGTTGAAGATGTGTGTGAAGCATCCATGTTTTAGAATTTGTAGCTTCTTTGCAGCAACATCCATATTTAAAGTATTGTCAACTGTCATGGCTACATATGAGTCTGGACAGACATGGATGTAAACTGTAACTTGACTGGTTGGCAGAGGCAAAAAGCTGCAAGGCAATAATAGATAGTAGTTGTCATTTATGGTTGTAAACAGCATATTTAGCCTCTGTGTTTTTGAATTAAAAAAGGCATTTTCCAGAGCTTTTTGACATTTGGTAGAGTAAAAAATGTAATCAATTTATCAAGAAAACAGCTGGTATAATAGTTGTTAATGGTAATAACTCAGCTGCAGCCTACAAGATAAACAGCACTGATTATTATCACAGTGTAAAAATGACACATACTGTTATACAGAGGATTTTATCCATATCGCACAGTGAATATCTACCTTTTACAGTCTCTGAAGCATTTGCTGAATCAGACCTAGGGTGTTTTTTTAGTTTTGTTTTTTGCTTAGAATATATTTATTGCATCTTTAACATAAAACACAGAACAGAATAGCTCAGACATAACATGGTGAATAGAAGGAGTAGTTGAAAATAAGAATATAAGGGAAAAATGAAAAAAAGAAGAAAAAAACAGGAAGTGTAGAGAGAGCTGATTTAGAAAACCCCTGCAATGTAGAGGATGACAGTGTTGTTCCAACGTACTTTAAGTTAGGATCCCAAACTTTATAAAAAGCCCCTACTGAGAATTGAAGCATACAAGAGATATAGTCCTTGGAAATACACTGCATTATAAGATTGTGCCACTACTTTTTTGTTGGAGCAGCCTCCGTGGTCCAGAGCAGCAGAATACTTTTCCTGGCAGCAAAATTTAAAAGATTGAAAAGTCTCTTGTGTTTAATATTTGCAATATGACCATCCGGGAGTCCAAGTAGGAGGCACATAGAGTCCAATTCTCAGACCTAGTTCTGTGTTACGTAATTGACAATGTTACGTGATGTATCTGTAATTTTAAGCTTGTATGTCTATAAGATTTTGTACCAATAAAAGAGGAGACAGAATAATCACAAACATTAGAGATTTCCTAAATCAAACGTCATCATGGCTGGAAACACCAGTGTTGCTGCTGCTGTTGTGTGTGTGTAGGACAGTTGCAGCAGTCAGTGGTACAATCTGTTCATCCCACTTAACCTCATTTCTCTGTGTATGCGTGCACTCTCTTGCTCTCACGCTCTCTCCCCCTCGCTCTCCATGTTACTCAATCACCAGATTACAGGATGCTCTCACTCTCTCACCCTTTTCATCCCCTTGCTGCCAGTGAAGGAGTGCGGAAAGGCAGGGCTCAGCAGGCTGCATTATGTCCCACTCAGACATGGCAGCAGTGCGAGCGACGCTGCTCATTCACACAAAAGAGTCCAAACACGCACATGCGGCAGCGCTCTCCAAAACACTGAACCCACACAGGGCTCAGACAAAATGTAGATAATCTCCCATCCAACAGGCGCTGTCAGCCAGACAAAGGGACAACACATGCATGCATATATGCACATACACATGCGCTCATGCGTATGCTAACACATGCATCCACGCAAAGGATATAAGGAGCAAATTGACACTGTATGTTGGCGTCAGAAGCTTTTGTGTCGTAGATTAAATTTTGCTGTGGGGCTGAAAGTGGTCTTGACTCTTTGTAAATCTCTGTGGATTGGCATGATGTGGGATTAGCTCAGATTAAGATTATATTTTGTTCGTTTGTTTGGTGGAGCGCTGTCTGAAGACTCCTCATTTGTTTTGAATCCGCAGACACCGAGACTGAGCGCACAGGCTACAAAGCACTTCCTCTGGAGGCTGTTCTCCCTTTTCTTATAATGCTAATGTAAAATATTTCTCGTCATCCTTTTGAAATTTATTTAGATCAAGGCAGACGGGAGGGTATTCTCTTGTACTGCGAGTGTGTTTACCAGTCTGTTCCCCACACCCACAGTGTCGAGGCAGTCTCTGCGTGTGCATCAAAGCCTCCATAAAACACTCACATGCGATTACCATAATGCAAAGTGTTCATACTCGTAAGTGTCCATGGCAGAGCAGAAGTCTTTATTCTCTGTGTAAAAGCTCTGCCACATTATGCCTCATTATACCAAAAAAATCCTTTAAACACACCCTGAATTTCAACTCCAGGCTGAACTCTGCACCTCTCTTTGCTTTGCAGTACCTGATCAAAGTAAATGAGATCAAGACCAAGAAAGGAGTGGACCTCCTCCAGAACCTGATTAAGTATTACCACGCACAGTGCAAGTAAGTACCACCTTAATCCCCCTGAACCCGAATGTATGAAGCCCCCCTGTTGTGTGCATCACACCCACTTAGAGATGTATTTCAGAACACGCCAAAGAAAATGGCTGTGCCTCTCTCCTTCCTTGCAGCCCTTAATGTCAATTTTCTATCTCCTGTATGATTCACAGATCTTGAGGGTGCACAGTCATATATAAAGCTCTCATAAATATACACAGGTCATCATACAGATATGTCCTGACAGCTGTGGGGTTTGGTGGGTAAATAAGTGGGCGCGCTCCTTTCCAGAACCGCAGTTCACAACGGCCTGTGACAGGATGACAAATTTTTGCTCAGCGTTGCTAGGTCCTGTCATAACACTGGGGCAAAACAATATACTTCCACCATTTAATCTGTTCAACCTGGTTCCTGATGGATAGAAAAACTGCAGGGGTGATGGATTAGAAGCATAAAAGCAATCGATGGGGAGCTGTGGGACGATTGTGTGACTGCTCGCTGTCAGAAAGAAGAAAACAATTTGTTTTCATTTTTGAACCACTTCATTCAACTAATTAAGGATGGTAATTAAAAGGAAATTTGGGTGTTTGTCAGCCCGACCAAGGGAGACATGGATTCTTGCAAGAACAGCATTGATTAGGGTGAGATGCCGACAGCCTTCCAAAAAACTTAAAAGCAACAGAAATCATCTGAAATCATCTTTTATTGGCAGGCAGTAAAAACAACTCGGTGTGTTGCTTGTCATTTTATTTTATTTAACTATTTTACTAATTTACAGACACATTACTCATCCAGCATGCACACAAGCTACATGAGAGACGAGGACATCTACATCGTTGGACCTAAAATAATGTTACAACTATAGCCACTTTGTTAGCCTCCAGGTCGCACATTAGCCATAATAGCTAGAAAAAAGAATACTTTGCAAGATGGCTAAGGTGTTATTTTCAATTTTCATGTGAGCTTGTTGTAGATTTGTGACATACTTTCCTTTGGCGGGTCTGGTTCTTGACTTCTGGGGGTCATCTTTGCATATTTTGAAACTATTCCAGACACCTGACACTTGATTTATGGGCTATTTGGGATTTTTCGGTTAATTCAAGGCTTTGAAGCATTTGAGTCAGCCCTAGTATGTATCTAACTGATGCATTCTCAAAGTAACTTTTCTGCCTTCTTGGCAAGGTTACAACTGAAAAGGAGATTCCATGTCAGTTGTTTTTTATCTGGTTAAATAAATAAATAAATAGTGAATAAAATGTCAGAAAATAGTGAAATATTCACTGTGTAATTTCCCAGAGTCCAAGGTGACATCTTCAAATAGCATGTTTTATCCAACCAACATACCAAAACTCCAAAGCTATTCAGTTTATTATCATGTATAACAAAGAAAAGCATCAAGTTGTCACATTTAAGAATCATGAAGCAAGGAAGTGTTTGACTTTCTTGCCTAAAAAATGACTGAAACACTTATTCGATTATCACAATAGTTGCCAATTAATTTGTGTTGATCAACTAATCGATAAATCGACAAATTGTCGAAGCCAGAGGTATAGATTTTGGAGGGGAATGCAGACGGCACGTCCCCTTCAATATTTTGAACATGCATTTGTCCCCCTAAAAACATAAAAGTAGCAGGGGACTTTAATTTTGACAAAATTTAATACGTTTGCACCATAAATCGATGCAGAAAAGATGCAAATTGGTGCATTAAAATTCCCCAGAATGCAGGAAAAAAGTGTTTGATGCTCAACATTTTTTGGCGAAGACCCCCAAACCCTCACTTCACATTCGTCCCCTCCCCATTGTTGAAACAGAATCTGCTCTCATAATGTAGCTCTATTTGAGAAGCTGTCAGAGTCTCCCACTCCTCGCCCCAGTGAACATCATTCTTGTTGGAGTCCATATATTCCAAATCTCTACAACAGAGATGATGGGTAAAATGTTTTTATGATTATTTCTCACAATGATTACAGAATCCCCCATTACATGATAAGTAAAAGAAATGCTGGATACATTTATAACTGTACAGTGCAGCAAAATGCGCAAAAAGTCAGCCGAGGTGAATCCTGTCTATACCTGCAGAATCAACACTTAATACATCCTGTCATTCTGCAAGGCCGTCAGTACTTGACATGGAGCGCTGAATGGAGTGGGAGGAGAGCTGCGGGATCCTCGATGCACAGATTAAAAGAAAACAAGCAGAGGAGAGATGTGACAGAGAAAGTAATGAGCAGAGGAAGGGAGAGGTGGAGGCAGGGGGTGGAGAGAGGGAGGTCATTAGCGGTGATTTGCGGCTGCGGCGCTGCATCGAGGTGTGTAACTCCGACAGATCTGTGATGGATTTCAGGATGGGCTAAGCACCTCTGCAGATCTGCCGCAGACACAGCCAGCTACGGTTTCTGTGCCAAGAGCCAAAGGCGCCAGAACAAGCCGAGCTATACATTAAACATAAACTGCACCAACCTCCTCTCTCTGCGTGACCTTCATAGTAGCCAAAAGCAGCACAGCGCAGCACCTGACATTTGCAGAGTAGTAATTCCCATAAATGACGGGCTTGTCTCTCATATTTATTCCAATGCATGTTAAATGTCAGCAAGATTCACATGTACCTTTGTTCCCTAGTTTCTTCCAAGATGGCTTGAAGACAGCGGATAAGCTGAAGCAGTACATTGAGAAGCTGGCAGCTGATCTCTACAATGTAAATACTCACATCTTTACCTTTTCTACTCTTCCTATGCTTTTCTTTTCCACAGAGTCAAAGCTGATGTATGTTTGTGTACATGTACTTTTCAATGCTTACCTTTTTTTATCTCAGTTAAATCAATACAGTTGTTTTGGCAAAAAAATCTCACCTCAAGGTCCACTTACTAGCTTGTCTTGAATTTCATGCATCTCTAATTTAGCAGAAGAATTTGCGATAAAGGCTCAGGGAAAAGCTAGTAAGTGGACCTCAAGGTGAGATTTGACTTTCTCCAAGGTAGAGAATAAAGTTGCACGATTATACAGTTCATGATTCGTATAAAGGTACCTTCAGACTGCAGGCAAAAGTGGCCCAAATCAGATTTATTTGCTCATATGTGACTCAGATCTGTTTTTTTCCTTCATAACAGTGTGTCATATCAGAATTAATGCGACTTTTATGTCACTTGCCTGAATCAAGTGTCTTGCCGCAGCGGTCTTGTGGAGAAGCTCTGACACATGTAGATAATTAAAAGTAGCCCCTGACATCCTGAAATGTTGGATGAAATCTGTCTCAGTGAAGCCATTTACATCACGATCCCGCCACTCCTGGCTCCAACTCCACATCCACACACACACCTCCGTACAGACGTAGCAGCAGTTGCTTCACAGAAAGCCATTATTCAAAACTTGGCTCTCTTTCTCCTTGTCCTCGTCCTTGTTATCATCTGCTCGTTAATTTGCTGGCGTCCTCTGCACATCAGCTTATAAATGGAACTGTAAACGCTGGCTCGAGTGGCCTCCGTGTTTACTTCCGTATGACAGCGTGCTGCGTTCGATGTCTTTGTTATTGTTCTTTTACGCATGCAGGTCAATTCAGGAAAATGTGACCAGTTCAAATTGGAATCTGATATCGGCCACTTTTAAAAAAAATAATGTGAACATAGCCTCAAAGTATTTGCATTAGCCCTAAAAGAAATGACTAGATAAAAGGGCCATGCATCACAATAAGTAATTGTAAAATGATGGCTCTCAGTGAAGCAAGTTTAGCACTCCATCACAGACAAATGTTTGAAAGCAATGAGCCTACACTGACTGCTCACCACCATTTCTTATTTACAGTACCGCTCTGCTTTCCCCTGAAGCAGCAGTTTTATCAGGGTATAATGCTCCTGCAGTTGTTATATGGACGGAAAGTAGCACATCTGCAGCAACTGTCATGATTCAGAATCTCCTGGAAACTCGTAGACCTCACATATCCAAAGATGGCAACGCCTGGGAAAGTAGATGTCAGACAGAAGATCCTCACACTGTACTGATCCCTCCCAATGACTGACATTTATTCAGTCAATCATTTATGTGTCACACAAATTGATACAAGGTAGAACTCAGCTCCTTTAACTTGTGCATTGCAGTTTAGTCTTTTTAGCTTCTTTTTACACTGTAGTCTGCTGCTTTATAATTTTCCATGCTTCCAGACCGGCTGCAACGTGTGTTTATGGCAGTGCAGATGGTTCTGGTAATTATGGTTTCTGGTTGTGGAATGAGTTAACCTAAGTTTTGCGTTCAGTCGCTTTTGTTGTTTTACAAATTAAATCCACCAGACTCTGATAGGCTCTGTCTCTTGTGACACTGGGGGGATGCAGTGTAGTTTGTTTACATATCTTGACCTCAACAAGATGGCCGCATGGTCGCTCCTCCCAAACATGGGCAGCAACTCTGCCTTGTGGCCCAGGGTGAGCATGGGACAGTTCCTCACATTCCCCCTGTCACACCAGTCCTCATTCACCATTAAGCAGACACCTCCTCCCTTTCTCTTACCAGAGTCCTCTGCCATGTCAGATTAAAGGGTCACCTGGTAGAATCGCACTGTCCGGTATTCCAGGATTTGGCAACGTTTCAGTGAAACAAAGGATGTTACAGAGCTACATTTTGATCTAACAGAGATCTCACAGAGGCTGACACTTCGGAGCTGTCAGCACAGTGTCTGGATCTTCTCTCTGAGTCCTGCTCTTTGTCTTTGATCAGCATAAAAAGTTTTTGAGATGTGCGTTCTCACTGTTTGCTAATGCCTGGGAAAGTCTCACAACTCTAGTGTGAGAGGTGTCGTGTAAATTACAAAATAATGTGAAAGTTTAAAGTGTATCTTCAAAAAAGAAAGTAAAGTGAAGTCTGCACATTTATTTTGTAATGGAGAAGTTGATTTCAGTCTTGGTATTTTTATTTGTGCAATAACCTTCTCTATGTCAATATCTCCCAGTTCTGCCGGTGCATCTTTTCCTCAGTCCTGTATTTGTTCTCCTCAGATCAAACAAACTCAGGATGAGGAGAAGAAGCAGCTGACTGCCCTGCGGGATCTGATCAAGTCCTCCCTTCAGCTGGACCAGAAGGAGGTAGGCAGGTCACTTTCAGAGACACTCAGTCACATTTAAACGTGTAGCAGGACCAACCAAAACTTAGACATACGGGGCTAAACACAACAATAGCAGACCTCACACCAGTCGTATTGCTCCAGCTGCCGCACAGACATGTTGTTAGAGACTGATGATTTGACACTCCTATCACACTTTTTTTTTACCACACACCTCCTCTCACTCTGGCCACTACCAGGTTTGGAGCTTGTCTCCTGCAGCACAGAGCGAGTGCCCAGTGCTGTACCATGCTGGTAGCCAGTGTGTGGTAGGCTTTGCTGGTGACCAGTGTTGTGCCTCACTGGCTGCTCAGTGGAGAGCCACTCACTGCCCGACTTAACACCACATCGCATCACACTTATAACACTGCCAACCCCGGATAGTCTGCTGCGGCTTGTTCTCACACATTCTCTTTCTCTGTCCGCTGCTCTGCATGATAACAATGTACATAGTCTTTCACTTTTAATTTACACTTCCTGTAGCTTCTCTTGTTAATAGCACCCACGGTAAGCACGTTATGTAGAAAGTGAAACACACGAGACTGCAGTTTTGGTCGGCACATTGGCGGGCGGCACACTCTTTCACACCCACGTCTGCACCTGAGCTGGATCTTTCACACCTCTCCCCTCTATCTTCCCCCTACTGCCTTCTGCTTGTCTGGAATCAAGTCTAGAAGAGTAAGTGCTGGTGCATGCTGAGCATGCTGGCATCTGTCTGTTCTGCTTGACACTAGAGTGGTTTGGCCCTGTAGAGGCTTCAGAGCATGCCCTGTAGTGTTAATTTTCCTGTTATCACTTTTGAGAAGAGACTTTGATGTTAGAGGAGTTTGTAGTGTGTTTGTGTGCATGTTGCATGTCTTTCAGCAGCTTCTCTGTACTCCCTGAGTGTTAAACATTGGTGTTTTGTGTTTGCACGTATCGTGTGGATTCGCACAGGACTCGCAGAGTAAGCAGGGCGGCTACAGCATGCACCAGCTGCAGGGAAACAAGGAGTTTGGCAGTGAGAAGAAAGGCTACCTGCTGAAGAAGAGTGATGGGTAAGCTGTTAGCACAGCCATTATTTAAAAATGCTGCGGAGCGCCATTCATGTTGCATTAAAATTTAAAGTGCACGCAGAGAGAAAAGACATGACAAGTCCTCTCCTAATGTGCCCCCCATCCCCTCCACCTCTTCTTCACAGGCTGAGGAAGGTGTGGCAGAGGAGGCAGTGCTCAGTGAAGGCGGGCATGCTCACCATCTCTCATGCCACAGTGAGTCCAACACACACACACACACTGACTGTGCGGATCAAAGGGAGAACATCATGCGGGGAGGTTGTGTTGGGCTGTCTCAATCTGGAGGCTGGCAGAGTGGAATTGACATAGATGGGTTGTCATGGAAACCCTACCCCCCTCCCCTCTCTCTCTCTCATTGCCCCTCCCCCCTCTGCCTGCCGGTGACTCATCTCAGAGCGAGTGTGAGCGTACTGTATATGCTGGCAAGTCTGTGGGGTCGTCTCCACTCTGGTGCAGCAGCAGTGGCTGCTGTGCAGTGTGATATTTTCTTTCCTGTGCGAGCTGCAGGAATCTATAAACTGCATTCAAATCTGAATTAACTCTGTAACACTGTCTGTCATCTGAGTTATAACCTCCCGCTGAGCCTCGAACAAAGAGAGCTGCTGGACTGAGGAGCTTAGCACAATCCATAAGTTTAGCTTATTGTGGCAGAGCAGTGGCAGGTGTCTCATCAGGCACAGATGTAAATCCAGTTGGCGACTTAAAAAGAAAAACAGGAAACATTTCATTTGGATTTAGGGATTAACAAGGTATGGTCTGTGTATTTTGGCGGTCAACCTGACTGTCAATATACTCTAAAGTTGTCAAATTACATCATCTAGAGTATTGGAAAACATACAATATGTAATTTTCTGCCACTAGGGGTCTCTCAGTTATAACAATAACAAAAGACGGGACAATGCATTTAATTGTGAAGGAGGTTTTTTCACTAGGAGTCGAATTATCCATAGAGGTCTCTTCCTCTCTAAAACAAATGGACCCAGTGATTTAAACTGGTTAAAACACTGAATAAAACAGTTTCATGCTAAGTGTTTCTCAGACACTTTTCAGCAAGGAAGAGGCCAGAGCAGAGCTGCTGCTAACGTCTCTGTTGGTTTCTCTGATAACTTAAGATACAAACTTGCGATGACTAAATCATCATCAGGTTAAAATGTACAGATAAAAACAACAAAGACCTAAAAAGATACTTGATCTCAAAAGATGTGGTTGAAAACCTGGTAAAGAGTCAATTTATGACTGACAACCACAACCCTGCACAAAGGGGTTGACATGGACCGTATGCTTGATCAAAAATAATAGATTTCTATGAGTTTAAAAGTTGTCTGAAACATTTTGGATAATGTATGTGCACAGCTCAACAATATTTTTAACATTGGCATAGTAGTTTTTACACATTTAATGCAGAAAAGTTATAAATTGTATGTTTAAAAGAATCTCCTAAAAGATGCCAGAAGATTTTGACCTGACAAGGATCTTTATGTCTGCAAACCAAGTTAACGCCTTCGAATTTAGGGAAGGTCATCTGATTTATACTAGCAATGGTACTATTAATGTCATTCAACCAGATAAGGTGGCTTAACTCATGTTATTGTGAAGCAAAAAGCAAACAGAAGCTCAGTTTGTGAAAGGCAGCAAATCTTCAACAGTCGTTTGGTAAGTAGCTATTAAAGTCATTTGGAGAGGATTTGAATTTCTATTTTTATTCTCAGTTCTTATCATTTTGGCACTGCTGATTTTCCTTTGGCGCTAGCTGAAACTTCTTGGGGGGTGCCAAAAATTCCTTTGCGGAGGAAAAACCCTGGTAAGCCTGGTGAAGTTGGCACTCGGGCGGCTTTTTACCAAGAGACACAGCTGGATGTACCATGGTAGGGAGGATAAGCTGTGGCAGTGCGTAATGACTGATAGATCTGACTGAGCCTCTGCATTTCTAGTGGGCACATTTGCCGCTTTTAGTGTGAGGGTGTGAGCTCAATTTGAACCTTCACACAGCTGCTGCCTAAAACGTGATGATTCTGAGAAGCTCAGGGGGAAGTGGTTGTCTCACATATGATATGAAAGGTTTCCTTTTGTTCAGCCGAGCGATGGAGGGACTAAATCTTTAACCTTTAAATCTTTAATCTGTCTTCTCTTGGTAGTTGTGCGAGAGCTTATAATCATTCCTCTCTGTCTGGAAGCGGTTTACCGCCACGCCACGTTCTTTTTTTCTTTCCTCAGCCCTTGTGGCAGCTGAACTCTAGGTGACTCTAGTTGACATGGCGGCTTGCCAGCAGGCCAGCCGAGCTCCACGGCTCATCACAGCCTGTTAGCATTTCATTAGCACGTGCCCTGCCCCCCCCCCCTCCTCTGCCCGGGCACTGGCAGGAGACAATGCTCAGTATACATGTGCCAACTGGGCCCATTATTACAGTACACAGCCCAGCCAGCACGGTCCAGTTTCTTAATGGGGACAACTGAGTTCATGCAGTTTTGTCTTTTTTGTGACAGAATTCTGTAGCTTCATTATGTGAATATTCAAATTCCTGATTTATGCATTTGAAACACAGCAGTAGTGTTGAATAAAACAGAGATAAGTTGATAAAAAATACTATAGTAATTTTGTTTTACATTACTGTGAATTTAATATTTTGGTGTTTGGACCAAAATATCTAATAAAATGCCAAACGTTTGGTGGCTTCAGCTTCTTGAATATGAGCATTTGCTGCTACTTCCTGTTTTATATTGTTGTGAATTCAATATATTTGGGTTTTGGACTGTGGGTTGGACCAATCGAATCATTTGAAAACATTATCCTGGCATTTTCCACTATTTTCTGACATTTAATAAGTTGAAACAATAATAAGTTATTTAAAGAGACGCTCAGTTTGTTGTGATTGCATATTTCCTGTCTGACCTTCTGTCTGTTTGTGCTCGCAGTCCAACAGGCAGCCAGTCAAGCTCAACCTGCTCACCTGCCAGGTCAAGCCGAGTACCGAGGACAGGAAGTGCTTTGATCTCATTTCTCGTAAGTTTTCCTCTCACATGCTGCACATTTCTCCACACGCCCAAACAGCTTAGTTATACACTGCGTATGTTAGTATGAGACAGCTGGGGATTTCCTGCCTTTAATAAACATCAAGGAAAACAAAACTGTGAAGGTACTACAGACTATTTTTAGACCACTTATCCAACAGGTAACACACAGCCAGTGAAGCGATATATTTAAATAATTTACTGTAATCTGTTGCTATTAGGATTGTGAAACGTAAGATAAGAAATTTGCTCACTTAAAGGGGACCTATGATGCAAATATTTAGATTCATGCTTGTAATTTGGGTTTCTACTAAATCACATTTATGTGCTTTATTGCTCAAAAAACACTTTATTTTCCTCATACTATCTGTGCTGGAACACCTGTATTAACTCTCTGTCTGAAACGCTCCGTTTTAGGACCTGTCTCTTTAAAAAAAAAAAAAAAAAAAAAAAGCCCAGTCCACTCTTATTGGTCGCTGCCTCTGGGTCTTTTTTATCTCTTCATGTCTGCAGTCATTGCAGGAGAGTAATGACTGTAACAGAGAATGGCATTACTTTCTATCATGAAAAATCCCCAATAGAAGCTTTTAAACATGACCGCACATGTTTGATTAGGAATATTTCTGAAATCTGTTATGATCTGATGTCAATTTGTTTCCTAAGTAGAAAAACTGTTGGAAAGAGTATTGAGAATAATCTGAAGCCTGAGGTTTTTGCTCACAGGGATTACTTTGTCAAACATTTACCTCATTAATTGAAACTTTGGCCACGTTTAATATGAATATTCATCATTTTAACATTATATATGAGAGATAATGAAAAGCGTGATTGTTCCCCTTAAACATCTTTGTTTCTGTATTCCACAGATAACCGGACATATCATTTCCAGGCTGAAGATGAACAAGAGTTTGTCATGTAAGTACTGTAATAATACTGCTTAAAAACACATAAGATCTGACCACATTTACCTGAATCCAGTGAAAGAGTTTGTGTGATCACAAACTGTCACCTAATGGTTTTTATTAATGAAGGGGCTGGTTACTGGCTGCTCTTTGTGTCACTGCCATACTCAAAGGCAGGAAGTCACAGAGAGACTGTTGAGAGTGGGTGGCAGTGTGAGGATGGCAGTGGGATTTGTGGTCGGCAGTAATCCAGGTCGCTGTAACCTCATACTGTTGTTTCCCAGGCTGTCACACACACGTACATGTCGGTAGGCAGACACACACACACACATGCACAGACACGTAGCACTACAACAAATCTTTTATTAAATGATCACACACTGCTGTTCACGTTTCCTGTAAACTTTGTCGTCACAGCAAAGCAAACATTGTTATAGTATCTCTACCAAGTGATAAAAAGGTAGTTGTATGAAAACAAATGTCTGTCCTACGGTGTTGTTAGAGTTTTGCTCGCGTTAGGCTTCTTTCTCTGTTTCATGCACCTTAAAGTAGGTAAAACTGTGGCAGAAACCCTCACCCTGCTTCTGGGTAATGTAGGCGCCAGCTTTTATATTTCTGGTTCTCTTGCAATGATTTTTAAAATCTGTTTTTTAAAGCTGTTCACTGTGAGTCATCAATATTATAGGAGTGCAATGCTAAATCAACGAGAACTGAAGAGTCTTTATTTTGTGTCTTTGTGAGTTTGTGGAAATAATTTTTTTTTTCTCTTTTCTAGTTGGGAAGGTGGGTCAGAAATCTACTTGCCCAAAGTCAACTTTTACTTGCCCCAATACAAACAGTTTAATTTATTAGAGCTTATCAAATTACAACAAAGACTAAAGTTAATTGTCATCTTGTGATGTTTTTAGAACATTGACGTGCCTTTGAAAAACTACCCCATTTTATTCACCTTGCTCTCACTTGCACTGCAGGTCATAAAATTTGTGTTGATAGATACTGAGCATGTTCAGCTCTTGACAGAGATGACAAGGAAGCGAGATGGCTCACTCCTTTGCTACTTCCATCATCAGATCTAAGGAAAAAATGATGTATTTAATTCTTTTTTTTTTTGATGGGGGCATGTTAGTTGTTAGATTTACTAGCCTTTAACTAGCCACAGGCAATCAGGCGATGTTTATTGTTGAGCTCTGCATATTTTTTGTAGAAAGAATATCAGATGTAGGGGAGGTAACAGATTTTGCACAACTTCAGCTTTTGTTCAATTACATGTTGAGGGCTATGGTGAGAAAGGTAACGCTGGTGTCACAGACTTCATATGCATGTCTCTGGTATTCAGATGACGTCTCAGCCCTCAGGCCTTCCTCAAGAAAAACAATCCTGACTTGAACAGTCTCGACTGTTGATCTTAAAGAAGGCCCGAGGGCTGAAATGTCATCTGAATACCAGAGGAAAGTGTGTGTCTTGTTCCCTACTTTCAAGTCTGCTGCCAGTGATCAGCACCGCACTCCAACCCTTGGTGTGCAATACTTATATATATCCAATAAGGTAATGCTGACATTGCTTTTTTAGACATGGAATATCATGGTTATAATGTTTGTTCATTTATTTATTTTGATTTGGTATTTAATAAACCACAGAAGTCAGTTGAGAACCAATTCTCATTTACAGCAGAGCAACATAGATCTATGTACTGTGTTCCTGAGAAGCAAATTCAAAAACAGGCTCTTTATATCAAGAAGAATTATTATATAGAAAAATTACAGACATAAATAAGAACCCTTCTGCTGCATCTAAAGTCATCTGAACACTCAGAAAAACACTGAATCCCGTCAAAAACATTGTGAATCCTCCTGAGCTGTCTAGACTAAAAACACTCTTGAAACACACTTTGATTTGTGGCACTTCTCTGTTCCGGCCTTGCATGTTCTCAGTCTGATGCCTCGCTGTGGTCGAACACTCTGGATCTCCATGTACTTGTCGTCCTTTGGGATCCCGCTTGCTGCTCCTCACTGCCGCTTCAGTCACGCACCTCCAATTGCAGCAGCGGCAGCAGCGTCTTCATGGGATTTTCCATGAAATATTTAGTATTCCATAGGGCTCCCGCTTTGTGCAATCACACTCCCCCTCAATTAGGCTGGGAGCATATTATAATGCATAGCATAAGTAAACACATAAAGGCTTTGGCTCAGCATCTGTACACCTACGCATCTGTGGATTAAAATACCTCGGTTCTTCACACATTCTGATAAACTGACAATCTAACACATCGGTTTATGCGCCCACTCCCTGTCTGGCCTCTGCCTCTGCAGACAGGGTTGACTGACAATGACAGAGGAAGTGCTGACGTCAGGCTCGTAAAAACCCAGTGTGTTGGTGCATGTGTGTGCATGTGAGTGTGTGTGTGTGAGGGCCAGTTCAGTGGGTAACACTGCAGGAGCAGATTGTGCATTGTAGAGAGCTGCAGGAGGCCATGTTTGAAGGGCAGCTACATCGTTTCCTATCTGCATGATTCTTAATAATAACAATTTGTGCATGCGTGCGTGTGTGGGTGGGTGGGTGGTTGTGTGTGTGCGTGTATGTGTGTGCGTGTGATTTACCTTGTCAAAGTAAATAAATTTGCAGGCACAAAAAGACTGTCGAGGGAATTAGACACCTAATTTTAAAACAGCCATTTAAAAAAAGAAAATAGAAATAAGTCAAATTGAACTAATATCGTTATGATCTCAGTATTTATGGAAATAAGTTCTCCATGTGTCCTTTGTGCAGTTTAAGGGCCCTAATTTATGTGCAGCAAATAGCAGCACACAGGGCAGTGCAACTGTCATTGTTTCAGACTGATGCAGTTGTCATTTTTACAGCCCATCTGTGCACCCATGGGCGTGTAGGTCCTAAAATGAGGTGTGGTCAGGTGCATTGCTGATGTATTGCTATTTTGAGGCAGCAAAAAGCCATTGAGCCACTGACCAACAGGACCCTGGTGTAAACTCAATAGCACTGTATTTTCCTGCTATTTCAAGGCTGCATTGTTGAGATAGTAAGATGCGCTCATACACTCTGCTTGTTACACACACAGGGACGTGTGGATGGGTTGCAGGTTGGTCAAACAATACATCATTAATTAGAAAAATATTAATTACATTCCTTATAATGTGAACATAGCAGAGAGCAGAGCTGCCATCCAACTCAAACTAAGAGAGACGCTGTGTGCATTTACACACATGGAGCAGCGTAACTTCATTGATTATTTCAGAAGCTAAAGGTTTAGTTCTGTTTCCTCTGTCAAGTATGTAACCAGAGTTTTTACTTTTGCTGCTGAAATGTCCCACAATATTTGCTGCGGGGACATTACTGCTCTGGAGAAAACAACTTGCTTTTCCAATTTGCCGAATCCACCATGCAAATAGCAGCACGCCAGCTGTAGGCACACCTGGCCTTTAAAAGGAAATGGGAAGACACTCTGATTGGTTAATTCATGTTATGCCCAAATACACCTATGATTAATTAAAGGACTAAATACAACCCCTTTCCCCCTTGTGCCTCACTTTGCGCCCAGATTATTAACTGGTAAAAGTGGAGTTCGACACGCCCCTAAATGCACTTAGGATGTGCACTTTAAACCATGCGCTATAGATTGTTTAAATAGGGCCCTCTGTCGAGTACTGCATCATATGTGTGTAATGGAGAATAACAGACTATTGTTCTTTGTAGCTAATAATGATATAAATCAACATCTTACTCTTTCTTAGATTTTTTGGGGGGGGGGGGGGCATTTTGCCTTTAATGGACAGGACAGGTAAGTGTGAGAGGGGGAGAGAGAGAAGGGGGAATGACATGTAGCAAAGGGCCACAGGCTGGATTCGAACCTGGGCCGCTGCGGCAACAGCCTTGTACATGGGGCGCCTGCTCTACCACTAAGCCACCGACACCCCATCTTACTCTTTCTTTACTATAATTTACATTTTTAGTGATTTATTTCTATTTTTTGTAGAGTAGAAATGATTTGTTGATTGAGTCCCAGCTTCTCAATTGTGAGGATTTTCAGTTTGTTGTTTTTGTATCATTATGAACATTATGATGAACATTTATCACAATTTATGGACATTTTTTAAACCAAACAACTAACTGATTTGAGAAAATGATCATTTTGTGGCAGTTGCACCTTGTTTTTTTATTTTAGCTGTGATGGTTATATGTCTTGGTAAAATAATTTTTCAATTGTGCTTTAAAATATGCATTATAAATAAAAATGTCTTATTATTAAAATTGATGTGATTATTGATGTGTTCCCTTGTGCAGCTGGATCTCGGTGCTGACCAACAGTAAGGAGGAGGCCTTGAACATGGCGTTCCGTGGCGAGCAGAGCAGCGGAGGCGAGGATGGTTTAGAGGATCTGACTAAAGCCATCATAGAAGACGTGCTGCGCATGCCAGGCAACGAACTCTGCTGCGACTGCGGGGCTGCAGGTGTGTACTGCTGCAGTTTGTGTTTCCAGAGAGGCCACTCACACATTCATATATATCCTCCTCCTGTTTTGTGCTTAGTCAACCCTCACCTTGTTACGGTAAAAGACAAACACCTTCACTTCAGCATTTTATGATTTCACTGTGGGCAAATGTTTTATTTAAAGCCACACACCTATCTGGATTCCTTTGCACTGTCACAGCTGCCCTGAACTCAGCGTCCTTCAGCTGGTAACTGAACAAGCCACAAATCCCCCTGCAGCCTTCAACAAACAACTGTGTGTGTGTGTGTGTGTGTGTGTGTGTGTGTGTGTGTATGTGTATGTGTGCGTGCGTGCAAGCTTTGTTAGCATTCAGGACACAACCCCATTTCAATCCTCCCCCACATTAGGAAGCAAAGCATCAGCACTTGAGAGTGGCGTAGACATTCAGGCCCTCTGACACTGAACACACTCACATACATACATACATGCATACACACTCACACACACTCCTCTGTCAACACAAACACACACAGCAGTTCACCGAGGGACCGACGGGAGGACTTTATTCTCTGAGGGTTAAAAAAAAAGCATTTCTACGCTTTGAGAAACAACATCATTACATCACGTTGTTACATAAGTCACACACGCTCCGTCGACCCCTGCAATCTGCAGAGAGGGGAGGTAATTTGTCATGTCTATACTCTTGTTGCTGCGTCCGTTGGTGTTCATGGTTTCAGTATAAAACACTTGTTCCAGATGTGGGTTTAAGCTCTTTTTCTGTTGTTTTTCTTTACAATAGAGTTTAGGAATTGCTCTGACAGGACTTCCTTTCCTCAGTGCATAAAACTAACTCAACGGTTGGAAGGTCATTGTAATGACTTTCAAAGGTCACCTCTGTGTTCCCTCTGGTCTGAGTAGAAAGAGGACAACTCCATCTCATTTGATACTCCCAGGATCTCCCTCTGTGCAACACAGCTTTGCAGCTTTAACATTAATCAGCTATAGAGGTCACTGTGCGTCAGCTCGTCATGCCCAACATGCACTCTGTGACCTATCACCAGCCTGCATGTGGTTATGATGTGACAATGTGTGTGTGTGTGTGTGCGCCTGTGTTTCCGTGCATGACTCATTGGTTTTTTGGGCTGCCTTTGACGTTTCCACCGGCGTCTGCCTGGTGCTCACTTGTCAGATCCAAACAGAACAGCATCCCCGGCCTCACGGCATCAGCGAGCTCACAACCACTGCGGCACAGCTGTATGCTTTAAAGCTCACTTAAATCTCCTAGAACATCAGGCGGTGACGTCAGTCAATAGCGGCAGGTTAGAGGGCGTTATGTGCTACATCGCAGCATGCTCATGCCCTTTGCTTGGTAGTAGGTTATGCAATGGGCTGTATCTCCCTCTCTGCAGTATGAGGTGACTGTGCTCACTGTTTGTGCCTACGACAGTCCTCTAGTGGTCTGAAATGTTTGTTGTTGTACAAATAAAACCAATATGTAGTTAACATTCACTTAGTTTAAAAGCAGAGTTCATGTGTAAAAATGCACCTTTCTCATCAGCTGAAATCATGTTTTTATCAGGTGAAATCATTATGTCAGGACACAGGATTACATTAAAACATATGCATCACATGTAGGTGCATGCAAGCAAAAATGTATCAAATCTTTGACCTGGACTAGTATCACAGTGTTCGATGTCTTAGATGCTACTCTTATTCAACAATGACATAACCTGACACAACGGAGCTGCAGCAGAAATAAAATGAGGCCATTGATATGCACTGTTTGCTTGAATGGAAATGCAAACTTCTCTGTCTAATGGGTACGGAAGCCCATTGCCACCAATGTCATGAAAAAAAAATATCCTGACAGTCATTATAATGAGAAACTTTCTGGAAATGATGACTTAGTGTCGCAAAATGATTTATGCCCCAGTCAGACAGAGCGCGTTTTTGTAATTGTTTTTAATGAAAGTGAGGTTTGCCACTTTTGCATTGCTAAGCGCATTTGCTAAGAGCATTTTTCTCCCCAATGTTCAATCAGATGAATTTAGAGGTGGGCCTTCTGTAGTGGGGATGACAGCAAGTAGTAGTATACATGGTTTGTGTGAAGCTAAAATAAACTCACCTTAGACATTGGCTTAGGCAAGCTGCAAAACATATCTGAACAAATTGTTGCCTCAACTACCATTATCAGGCCAGACGATTGACAGCAGATTGTCAAACTGTCCCAGACTCATCCACAAAAATGTCTTAAACTGACCATCAACCGAAGGCGAAGCTCCTGGACCAGCTGGTGGTACAATAGTCCCTGTGATTCTCCTCTTTCTGAGGGTCCCATGTCCCCACACAGATTCCCTGTCACCAACATACTTTGTCGTAACAGCCTCTCAGTCTCAATTAGAGCCAGAGCAGCCACCCCTGCCTGTCCATTTCTTATGCAGATTACAAGGTACAGACCTGTGAGTTCGCTAAGCTAAGCACAGGTGATTCGGTGGTTGCCTAGTAACAATTTGCAATAGCAATAAAGACAAGGCAACCTGCAATATGCGCTCTGTCTGATCAGGGCCTTAGTATCTCAAAATAATGAAACAATACTAAGTTGTTGGTTGTTTTTTTTTGAGAAAGTTTCTCATTATTTTGAGGCACTGACTTATTATTTTGAGGTTATTTTGCAATACTAAGTCATTATTTTGAGAAAGTTTCTCCTTATAATGACTTACTGGATCTTTTTTTCATCACATTGGTGGAAATGGGATGATATATAGTTATTTGAAACAACAAAATCAATCCACAAGGAGGAAAAAAAACATGCAGTGCTTATAAATCATGTATTTATGGGCCTGTTTTTTCACAATCAAATTTAGAAAGTGTCGCGTCTCGTTAAGATGTTCTCAGCACTGTTATAAAGTCATTTTATAGCAGAAGATGTATGGAAAACTATCTTTAAACATTGGTGTTAGTGGTTTTGGTGTACGTCCCTCACAGTTCAAGTAAGAGTAATAGCCTCTGTCGGGGCTCACCATTTTTCTCCCAACTTCTGCAATCATACAGGAATAAATCAAATGTTAGAGACGCTGAGAAACCAATTTCTCTACTGACAGCAGCCTTAAAGCACCAGAATACAATGCAGCCACACAGAACGTATTATCAGTAAAGGGCAGGACTTTTATTGCTGAAAAATCTCTCGTGTCTTTATTCTTAAATACGGTTTTAGGGCGTTTAGTTGACAGTTGACAGTAGAGATAGGGATGACGTGTCCCAGGCTGGACTTAAATTGAATTTTACTGACGTGTATTTGTGTGGTTTCTGGCACGTCTTGATGCGATTTGGAGCTTTCAGTGTTACCTGATGCAACTTAAATCAAAATCTGTTATTTGACATTCAGTATAGGATTAAATCCCTCTGAGACACATTTGTTTTCACACTGGTTATGACAATAATGATACTGTATTGTAGATTATGAAAAGCACTGGCACATATTTTCCCATATTGTCTGTGTTTATAGATCCTAAGTGGCTTTCCACCAACCTGGGCATCCTGACCTGCATCGAGTGCTCTGGTATCCACAGAGAGATGGGGGTCCACATCTCCCGCATCCAGTCCATGGAGCTCGACAAGCTAGGGACCTCAGAACTCTTGGTGAGTCAGAGAAATGGTCTACCATGTGAATAAATAGCTTTTTTTGAGGCAGCAGTCCACGCCCTTTACTATTTTCATCTCGAGTGAAATATTAGAAATAATGAAAGAGTAGTGGAAACACAGCAGAGAGCAGAATTTGATTCCTAAAGCAGCGGAGAAACAAACACATTCCCAGAACCAACGTCCCCATCTGTCCCCAAGAACATGTGAAAGCTGTTATGCTGTTATGATCTGATGCTGACTCTTTCTTCTTTCCCACCAGCTGGCCAAGAATGTAGGGAACAGTAGTTTCAATGAGATCATGGAGGGAAACCTCCCGTCCCCTTCACCAAAGCCCACTCCATCCAGTGACATGTGAGTGCTCTCTGAAAATGCTGCCTAAAAACTAGATTCGTTTAATATGACAACAGCTGACTGAACTCCTCTTCTCCTCTACAGGACGGTGAGGAAGGAGTTCATCAACGCTAAATATGTGGACCACAAGTATGCGAGGAAGACATGCACGTCTGCGGCAGCTAAAATGATCGAGCTGTTTGAGGCGGTTCAGTCCAGGGATCTGCTGTCTCTCATCCAGGTCTATGCAGAGGGGGTTGAACTTATGGAGCCGCTCCCAGAGGTTGGACCGGTGAGTCCTCTAAGTCTATGGGACTATACATACTCGCACTTGTTAGCTAACAATTGCTTATTTATTTAAACAGCCAGCAAACAGAGCAACATTATCATACATTTGGAGCCGTGTTTGTGTCCACCTGATGATTCTAAGTCCAATATTCACTCTCCTTTTAGCTCTGTTTCTTGTCTTAATAAATTCCTGAGGGAAATATCTGTCTCTGTAGCTGCTAAATATTTTCACAATGTTCATTAGCCAGCTGTTAACTGTGTCTGTCTGCTTTTGGGTGTTGGGCAGGAAATATTCAGTGGGTTTTTAGAGCTTCTTCCCTGAAAACAGCTGCCCGCTGCAGCCAAAAATGAGGCTATGAGAGCAGTGAGACTGAACCCAAACAGTGAAGTTGTGGACCAAGCTCTGTCTTTTGACACCTTGTTGTTATTAAAATATTGCTTATAGCCACTCAAAACACAATCCGAGGCAACTGTTTTAATTGGAAGCACTTACCAAAGAGGTATTCCCACTGAAAACTGCTGACGGTGAGGTCTGTGGATCATTGTAAACAGAGCCCACATAGTCAATGAATCAATTGGTCAATTGACAAAAACGTATCTGCAAATTGCCAGACATTCACTGCCTTTAGCTTCTGAGATATGATTATTCTCCGATTTTCTTTGTTATCTGTGAATATATTTGGGTTTTGGACCATTGGTTAAACAAAGTAAACAGTGTGATGTTTTCTGACATGTTATAGACCAAGTGAATGATCCATAAATTCCTGAGGCTGGCATAGAGAAAAAGCATCATATAGCAGGACAATACATGAATGACGAGCGGTGACCTTGTGGTGCAGACATAGTAAGGTTCTTACATTTACCGACTCAGTGTGTTCAAACATATTTATAAGTAACCCTGCTGTATTTGTCATCCATACTGGTGACAGTAGTTGCACCTACTGTTACTGTATGTTATTTAGTCTTCTTGTGTATTTTACTCTTTGTATCTGCACTGTTCCCACTTTGTATTGCAGCCGTTGCTCAGCAGTTTCCGTAGGATGAATTAAATTGTAAATCTTATCAGTTCACAGCAGTGACAATACATGACCCACTGCAGCAGTGGTCACGTAGCAAAGGTAGAGTCAGATGGTCAAATGTCCTGCAGTAATAATAAATAACTTAAAAGCCTTAAAGTGCGAGACAGTGGAGCCGGTAAAGTGGGTGGGGGGTGGCTGATTCTGGTGTCAGAACAGTTGGTATGGAGGTTAGTCCCAGGCGGGACAGAAGGGGGGGGCTATAAACAGACTGGAATTCTGTATATTTAAAGGTTTCCTTCCTCTGGTTAGTGCTATCTGCAGGGCAGCGCAGACGCCTGTCAGTGGGCAGCCATTCAAAGGCATTATGTAGAGCAGAGGTGAGGTCCTCTAAGATGGAGCAGGCGTTACCAAGTGTTTGCTGATCATGCAGAGATTCTATGTCCTATGATTTTGGAGCAGCTGTTCATTGTGCTCTGGAGACATTTCTTGTCACTGATTGTGATAGAGTTGAATCAACAGATAAAGTAGTAGCTCATCATGCTTTTGTTGAAGGAGCTGTAAAATGTAATGAGGATATTCCTGCCTGCCCCAAAGGAGTTGAGCTTTCCTAAGAAGCACTGACGCTGTTGGCACTTTTTGATGATCACCTCTGTGTTGGCTTTAAAATGCAGTTTGTCATCTCTGACAGTTCCCAGGTGTTTGTGCTGGTGTGCAGCTTCCACTGGTTCCCCATAAATCATGGCTATAGTTCACTCAACTCCATGCTTGCAACATCTCCTTTGTCTTGGTGACACTCAGCCCCAGACAAGAGCCGTCATGGCACTCTGTAAACTCACCAAGGACAGGTCCGTGATTTAGCAGGGCTTGAAAGCAAAGAAAGGAGAACAGTATCGTGCACAAACTCCCCCAGATGGTGATTAGGATGAATATGATAAGCAGCACGTTATAGATAATAAAAATATCTGTAAAAATTGTGAATTTTTTTGCTTATTTGGCAAAGATGCATGTCATGTAACATTGACATTCGAAGTTAGTATGTTGCCTTGAATCTTGGGGACATGTCAACCTCCTCATAACATGATTACAGTTTATTTCTGTCACACAGCTTTACCTCAGCGCTGACACATTTCTACCAGCTGCTGAATTTATTTGGCGGGTAGAAACGAGTGTAACAGTTGGAAAAATTAGAATCATCTGGATAGCTTCACCAGCAGGTGGTGATATCCAGCAACCACATTAGAGGGCATCATCTCATTTTGAGTTCATATTTACTCAGATGACGACATCTGCGGCGGCAATATTCATGTTTTTCATTCTGTGGCGGCCTCTTTGTTTCCTCGCCTCTTTGCACCGCCGGTTCGGGCATAAATGAAAGTTAAATAATGAGCAGTAAATGGTGAAGATGCTGCACCGTAAACAACACGACTGATCAGACTTAATCTGACATAAATGGGTCAAGGTTTTATAACGCAGACACGGTGGTTCTCCTAATGAAAAATTAAGTGTACAATGCAGCAGCAGAATAAAAGAGGATATTGTTTGGTGACAGAGGGAGCTGCTGCTGCTGTCTGCGCTATGAAGTCTGACTCACCGATATCTGATCTGCTGTTGTCAGTAGATCTGAATGGCTGCTGACAGCACAGTGACAACCCCCCTCTCTAAACCCAGGCACAAGGACAGGGATGCATGACTACATACAGCCCTTAGTGTTCCCTACAGACACCACCAAGTATACAGCACATATATTCCATATATTTAATCTTTCATCTCCATCTTTAATGCTGCATTTAAAGACATAACATTTAGATCTAGTTTTAGTTCACAGAGAACCATGAAATCACTGCAAGATACTTGCCAAAAAAAAGCAAATTCCTGCATCATGCGTGCTGAAATATTATTTTTAGGAGCCATTTTGTTTACTGCAGCTTGTTTAAATGCTGAAAGAGACAGAGAGAGAGAGAGAGAGAGAGAGAGAATACAGAATGGATGCTGCCCAAGATTGTCTCACTGTGTCTTTGCTGTGTTTGATGGCCCCCTGCAGGAATCCGGAGAGACAGCACTGCACTACTCTGTACGGACTGCTGACCAGACCTCACTGCACTTAGTGGACTTCCTCGTGCAGAACAGGTACATTTATGAGTCATCTTCACCAAAACACCAGAATAGAGCTGCATAAGAGTGTGGATTGGTTTCCATTTTTCAACCTTGTTAAAAAAGCTGTCAGAATTTCCTTCAACACATCAGAGGTTCAGAGATAAAATATGTAGTAAACAACAGTTTAGCGGAAACACGCAGTATCAAATGTGATCCGTGTGTCTGCTGTGAGTCTTTCTTGTTCCGTGCTTCAGTCTGTAGCGCAGCAGTAGAAGTGCGGAGGAGAAGCTTAGCGCTTGCACAGCTCAGCTCACATTCCCACAAGGCAAACAGAAATGGGTCAAGCACTTGTTCTCTGCCTTAATTTATTCCTCTCTTTTCAATTGTTTACCCACCACTGCTCTGACTGCACACACAAGAAGTGGAACCCTCTCATTAATTAATAGCTGTACTCATGCCATCTTAGCCCTCATTATTTAAGATATTTCTCCTGCCCTTTCTGGGAGATACAAGAGATCAAAAAGGGATAATTTACCTGCTTTAATGTAGCCTGAAGCTGGTGTTGCATGGCTAACACAGTTGCATGTGTTATTTGGTGTGTTTATGACTGATTTTCATTGCTTTCCTCAGAATTTTAAGGTCAAAGATAGATTTCTGTTTCTCTCATGCTAAATCACAAGATCCTGGGTAATAACACATTAACCTGACGCTGCAGGACCGTGGAAAACACCCTCAGGCTTATGACCTGTGTCCTGACTATGTGTGTGTATGTGCGTGTGTGTGTTTTTTTCTCCCAGCGGTAACCTGGATAAGCAGACGGAGTGGGGGAACACCGCCCTGCATTACTGCAGCATGTACGAGAAGCCCGAGTGCCTCAAGTTACTCCTGAGGGGCAAGCCGGCGACTGATATTAGTGAGTCACGCGTCGAGGTTCATCCTCTCCTTAATGTCATCTGTTCGCACGTATCAGACTCCTCAACTGTTGATTATCCCTCCTCTCCCTTCAGCCAATCAGAACGGAGAGACGGCGCTAGATGTTGCCAGGCGACTGAGGAACACTCAGTGTGAGGAGGCAGTAAGTACAGGAGCGCCCAGCTGGTGATTTTGGACATCACAGTGGATTTTAATGCTCTAAAAACATTACTTAATTGCAAAAAAATGGAAAAATTAAACAAATGTTGTGGTGTTTAGATTGTGATGTTATTAGGAAGGTTATTCAGAACACTAGATGGCAGTCAAAGGTCTTCCTTCAGCCTCCAGGCAACAGTGACAGCAGAGTGGAAGTAATTGTTGATGTATGTTCATTATTAACGCTAATATGACCATGCAGGCAAAAAAAGCTATTTTAAATGCAGGGTAAAGCCTCTACTAAACAATAAATGTCTTGGCAAATTTAACACTTAATGCAGTGTCCTTGCAGTAGCTCTGTATACTGGACAATATCTCATATCCAGAAGAGGGTAATGACTGATGTGTAGTGTTGCATAGTTATCATACTAATTGTTACTAATCCTGACTTATGACCAATGAATGTTTGTGTGTGTGTCAGCTCGTGCAGGCTGCAGAGGGCAAGTTCAACCCTCACATCCATGTGGAGTACGAGTGGAGCCTCAGACTGGAGGAGATGGACGAGAGCGATGACGACCTCGACGATAAGGTTCGGGCAGAGCGTCACACTCAGTTGCTCGAGATGGAATTCAATCAGGTTTTCAGCACACCTCGTAACGTGCTGCTGAATCTAATAATGGAAACTGCTGATGAGTCAGACTGATGTTCAGATATGAGCGAGCAGCGTTCCTTTGTAACACACTGTAAAAACAGCTGCTGTAAATGTACTTGCCTTTTAAAACCCCCACATCTATGCCATTTCTACAGAATTAAAAACGTTCTGCTTTCTATATTCTCAATTTTGCTCTGACTGAACATCATTATGTATAGACAGAAATCCATGGTAGAGGCAGACATACTGAGTTATTGTACTCACTATAGCCCCAATGCACCATTGTGCGATGCGGCCTTGAAAATCTTACATTAAAGCAGTGGTTCCCAACTGGTGGGTCACAGTCCAAAAGTGGGTCACAGGTCCATTCTGAATGGGCCGCTAGTGACTCGCAAACATGTCAAGTTTGTAAAAAAAAAAAAAAAAAAAAAGGTAGGCAGAATTTCTGGCACAGAGCTTAAATTTCAAAGTGCCACTTCCTGCTGTAGAGTGAGTCACTAACATACAGCTACTGGAGAGAGACAGCACACTAGCTTGACAACATGGCCAAACGCAAGTATGACACTGAATGTATTTAACTGTGTGGACCTTGGACTAATGACTAAGGAGAAATCTGTGACTGTGTGGCTGCACCAGTTGGGAACCACTGCATTAAAGGAATCTGGAGAAAGATATTAACTCAACACCCAAACAAATACACCCCTCCCGTCAGTGCACTCTCAGAAGCTCTTGTAATATCTCGGATGTTATTTATCTTTCATTACTATCATGGTGCGGCTTTGTCCTCTGAAGAGGGAGAGTAGCCAGCATAGTGTTGTGTAGCTCCCTCTGAGCCACTGTGTTTGTTTACTATTCACAAAAAGAGGCCTGTGTATGAGCACTGGATTTTTTTTAGTACACACAGATTGAGAAGCTGGCGGACCTGAGGAGATATTCACTGAATTTGACAAAAACTGGATTGTAATCACAGACTGCACCTTAAAGTATTAAATAAATTAAGTTGAAGGAAGATGGGTGACTGAAGAATAAACAGTTCTTCGTCCTCTAAACATCTGGGTTGGATATAAGTTTGTTTTAAATAATGAAGGTTTTTGGGCATCGTTTTCACTACATTTCAGTGGCTATATTTTAATGTGAAGCAGGTCCTAATTACATGTTCATAAAGTCATAGAAATGCGGTTGAAACAATGGTTTTGGGTTATCTACATGTCTTAAAGGGATAGTTCGACATTTTGGCAAATTCGCCTATTGCCGTAATCCCTATAGTCATATGAGTAGGTACATTACCTTTAATTGTCAGTGCCTGCTGTTCTGAGATTGGTGGAGCAGAGCTGCCCGCTGCTTAGCGCACAGAATGGAGGTGAACGGTACAGCCCCTTCTCTCCCTCAAAACTAATCAAATACACCATCAAATGACGCTCAAAAGCGCTCTTGTAGCTTACACATTCACCACGCTATGAAATAATAATGTAATATTACGAGACAGAGTTGTTTTGAAGCCAAATGCACAGCCGGAACTACATTCCAGACATACAGTACTTGCTGGGTGGAGTGATTTCAAACAGCATATGTTTAGTGCAGTTACTCCCGTCATCAAAACAAATTTGTTGAGAAGAAGCCAGAATATACAGAGGAAGAGTTACAGGTTTTGGAAGAAGAGAGAGCAAGAAGAGAGGTTGAGGCTGCTGAGCAACCAGGGGCTGAGGGGAGACCCAGAGCCGGTGGTGTAAATGTGAGGCTTACTGGCCACTTTATTAGGTACACCTGTGCAATATAAATATAGAGTACGCCTCAAAATAATCACCGGAACATAGGGAGAACATGCTAACTCCACACTCATAAATCACCACAACTCCTGAAGGAACAACAACATAAAATGTTCCCTAGCAGTCTGTTTATTCCCAACAATGAGAAGTAATGCCAGTCACTTCACTATATGCTCTGGGCAAGCACTTATCCATAACATGACCACAACAACATTTGCATTTTAGCCTTGTTTACCATTGCTTGGGTCGTAGGCTAATGTTATTCAACATGGAGGTAACGTTACAGCAGAGAGATTGCTGTGCAAAATACACAACGATCACTTACCACGTCTGCTCGTTTTGTGATGCCGACAGATGGTATGGCAGTGTCTCTCAAGAAAGGAGTTTGAACCATTCCTGAGCTTCTGTGCTCCATCCTTTCAGCGTAGTCCTCTGGTAAAAAATGGCAGGAGCACACAAACATTTTCCGGACCATTTCCACAGGCGTGTTGGGATCAATGTCCAGCACAAATAGCCATTGTTTCATCCTGTCCGTATTACTGGTTTGCTCCATGTCTTCGGCTTGTTACTGCAACCTTTTACAATGCATGTGTAAACCATGATTTACAAAAACACTTGTAAACTTTCCTCAAACCTTCTGGTGCGTCCAGCTGACGATACCGCAAATGGCTACAAGCATTAACAACGGCACTGTCTCAGCTGCACACTGTGTCACTCCGCCCAGTCGTTTACTCAAGAAAGTAGTTCCGAGTATTTGCTTCATGTGTCGTAATGTTACTTAATTATACATTATTATTTCATAGCGTGGGGAATGCGCAAGCCATGTGTTTTCCACTAGAGCGTTTTGGAGTCATTTGATGGTGTATTTGATTAGTTTTGAGGGAGAGAGCAGGCTGTATCGTTCACCTCCATTTCAGCGGGCAGCTCTGCTCTACCGATCTCAGAACTGCAGGCACTGACAATTAAAGGTAATGTACCTACCCGTATGACTATAGGGATTACGGCAATAGGCGAATTTGCCAAAATGTCGAACTATCCCTTTAAAAATGTTCACTTTTCAACCAAATTTAATAGAGTTTAGAGATTTAGAAATATTTTGACCAGCAACTCACCAAAGCTGTGCTCACTGTGCTTTTAATATACAGCACATCTTACATAGTGAGAGAGCATTCAAGGGTGGATTTTTCTTTAATATTGTCAATTTGAGCAGTTGGATTTTCAGCAGTTTAAAGGAACAGTTTGACACTTTTAGAAACATTTTTTTATTTGCTTTCTTGCAGAGGACTAGATAAGATGATTGATACTGCTCTCATGTGAAGCTACAGCCAGCAGCAGTTAGCTTAGCATAAATACTGGGAAACAATAGGAGCAGCTAGCCTTGCTATATCCTTGCTATGTTGATATTTCAGCCAGGGGAGGTGTGTTATGTCCTCCGTCACAGTGTTGTGTGCCTGATGCGTGTTCCTGTTAGCTTACAGTGGGTTGTCCCATAACTTTTTGTACAAGCTAGCAAAATCGTAATCTAAAAAGTTGTATTTTAACAAAATCTTTGCCCTTACCCCAAAATTAACCCTAGAGGAGGCAACATGATTTGCAAAGATACACCATGACTAGGTTTCCCTACAGATCTTAAAAAGACTTTTACCTGACTGCTGATAAATTCCTGAATTTCATAACGTTGTACGGAAAAATATGTACAACTAAAGGGTGCTAAAATACACAGACTTTTAGATGATCTAAATTATGCCTAACAACAAAAATGTGCACTGCTACATCCTGCAAAACCTCCCCGATCCTTGTGAAATACCAAGTTTCTGAGGAGTCCTGTAATAAAATCTGTCTAAAGCTCACTCAATCCTCACAAATCCTGAAGTGTAAAAATCAGCAGGGACTTTTTAAAAATGGTATTGATCCTCTCATTTAACTCAACTAAGTGCATTTCCTAAAATGTCAAATTATTCCTTTAAGGCATCTGTACATCAGGTTACGATGTCAGCTCCGTGTAATCAAAGAGCAACTAGACCAATGTCGGCTCTGCCTCAGCTGTCTCCCTCATGTCCCCCCATGTCCCCCCCTGCAGCCCAGTCCCATCAAGAAGGACCGCTCCCCGAGGCCTCAGAGCTTCTGCCACTCCTCCAGCCTCTCCCCTCACGACAAGCTCTCCCTGCCGGGCTTCATCAGCCAACGGGACAAACAGCAGCGTCTGTCCTACAGCGCCTTCACCAACCAGATGTACAGCGCCTCCACTGACCTCACCTCCTCCCCTGTGGCAGACGGGCCGCCGCTGCCACCCAGGAACCAGGGCAAAGGTCAGACCTGCCTGCTCCAAGTGCTTTTCAACCATATTCACAGTTTTATCAGTCTCTAACTTATGACTATGACAGTCAGTCAATTCAGGAGATTATGCTCAGCTAATATATCTCTTGCAAATGTCAGACTGTAATGCAAATGGTCATTTGTATGCTTTACTATGTCTCATTACTGTGGAGGGAAGATAGTCTTTGAAACTGTACTTTATTATGTCTGTTAATGTTTGATTATATCCAGGACAGGATTAGGTGCAGAGAAATGCTTCGCAATCACTTTTCTGGAAAGTTTCCTCTTTGCGCTGTCAGTCAGTCCACACACACAGACACACACACACACACACACACACACACATAAACACACACCCTGCAGTGGAATGTAATTTGTCAACACACAAATCAGAGGGCGGGATGCAGGTGTCATTAAGATTGCTTACACAGTAAACCTTCAGGAAAATGTGGCTGCAGGAGAGGGCAGGGTGGCAATAGTCAGTCAGGCCTGTGAAAGGGAAGCAGGGTGCACACTTCATCATTTTTCTTGACACAGTACACACATGGTATACTGTGGGTGTGCTGTGTCTGCAGTATTAGAATTAAAGATAACACTCCTCCCTCCGCGGAGGGGTTATAAACACTAACAGCTTTAGTACATGGTTGAAAACATTGCTAGAGCTTACGCAGCACAACATCCATCCCAGCAAGTCATTTTAATCCATTACTGAGCATTTAAATCTTATTTTTCTTAAAACAAGAGGTGTGAAATTTCACCTGTTTCCAGTTGGTTGAATTAACACTTTGCCAAGTTACTGTTACTGTTAAGTTACTGTAAGCTTTCCATTTTCACTGTTCATTATGATAACGCAGTAGATTAACCATCAAAAAAAGTGTTTATTTTTGAAACAATGGGCCTTAGCTTTCACACAAAAGTGAGCAAAAATTGGCTTCTAATTTGTAGCTGACAGCTGGTGATTTTATTGGCTGAAGTGATGACTGCCACTGGCAGATTATATCAGCTGTAGCAAACTAATTAACACTAACTCTGTCTCAGGCTGTTCAGTGGTTTAGCTGACCTCACTTAAAACCTAGAACTCTGTAAATTGCTCCTAAATGTGCATATTCTACCCACATACTTGATAAAATGCTAAAAGGCTGAAGCTGCATGTTTCTGGAAAAAGGGAAGGGTCCATGTACGGTAGAAGACATGGAAGCAAAGAATTGTTCTTGTATTGCAGTCTAGAGCTTGTTTGTCCTGCTATTATAGTACAGTATGTAATAGACAGCCTTTATAATATGTAATACATATTATAAATAGATTATTTATTCACACTTAACCTTGTTGATGCTTACTATAAAAAATCATTGGACAAACCACGCAGATTAAATTTATGCTCTTATTTTTAGTATTTTCAAACAAAATTGCCAAAAAGTTTTTGAGGACGAAGACTAACCAGTGTGTTTGACAAACATTGGCGGGGGTTGCTGAAGTAGAAACTAAACCCCAAACCAAATAAAGAGCAGGGCAAAGCCATTAATGTTCACCTAAACTCTTAAATAATGCATATAGCACTGTAGCTCCCACACTGTGGATGTTCTTGTCCTGAAAAGATCTTCTTATAACTTAAACTGTAAGTCCAGCGCAGCTTACGTTAGAGGAGATAAACTAACTGTTAAATTCATTTATTTACAATTCAAGACGTTAGCCAGTTTGCACATCAAAAACCTGATGCTTAAATAGCAAAAGTAGTAGCAAATAGTCCATTAGCGAAGAATAACGCAAACAGTTATGAACTGTTTCTGCTTAAGAGCTTAATAGCTAAAAACATAGTCTTACTTAATATATGTTTTGATCTTACGCCCTCTTGACTTTAGTCATTTGTTTACTTTCCTCAATTCTGTTTCTCCTCTTGTCCTCTGAGCTGACCTGCCAATCAGAGTGATTTCACTCACTGACAGGCTCTGATTCAACACGCTGAATCATGTGAGAAAAGGCGACAAGGGCCGACGAGGGCCGACAAGGGCCCGACAAGGGCCGACTAGTGCCAACGGTGCGGGACACATTCCTGGAAATTAGGGTGACAGATGCTCACTGACGGCCACTGACCGACAGCCACCCGTCGGCTTGGTGTGTTAGGGCCCTTAAATGATTAAAAAGCAGCGCTGGAAACAAGTGAAATTTTTAAGTTTGATTTATGCAAAAATAAGATAAAAAGCCTGAAGAAGAGGCTAAATGACATACATATAGAACAACATGCTAACTCTTCAGATGCTCCAGATAAGCAGCGCAGCGCTCTCTTTCGCTCTCTTCTTCCTCTCAGTGGGTGCTGAAGAGCTCGCCCCTGGGGGCCAGCTTCGCGCCATTTTTCCTCTTTTTTTCTTTGCTTGTCACTGATAAGATTTCATCTTGTTATTTTACAGTGTGTGGGAGCAGCTCTTTTAAAGACTGACATACTGTAGATTCTCTCCCACACTCCTCATCTCGCTCTCTTTTCTTTCTCTTTTTTTGTTTCTCTATTCTTTCAGCTCCACACTTGGCATTCCTTGGCTCTCATTCGCACTACGCCACTCTGGCTGGCACTCGACCATACATCAGTGAATATCCTGGTTTTATGTTCTCCCCCTTACTCGGCTGTGTGCTCCATATATACTTATCCCTCAGTTGTTTCCTCCTTTACAGCTCAGATTCACAGGGTGGTGGTGTTTATTTAAAGGAACAACGGGACCATGTAGGCAAGCCGAGTCTCCAGTTAATTATTTCCTGCCTACATGAATTTTTATCTTGCTGGAATCATGTCCCACCATCCTTGAGCTGTAAACTCTTAACCACAGCTGATTCCTCTCTGGCTGAGCTCTCTATTAGCTGCTTTCGCCCTAATTTTCTCTGTACTAGTGACCAGCGAGTGCGTCGGAGTCCCATTAGACACAAACAGGTGTATTCAGTCTGATTCTCACAGTAGAGCGAGACCAAAAATGTGCCCACACCCCAAATCATAGTATTCCTTCTCATCATTTTGCATTCCCGTCAAGACATTTCTGTTATATATTTGTTCGGACAGTATTTTGTTGTACTTGCATTAATGTGTCTCCTCATTTCGTCCTATAAAAACTTCCAAAGTCCTTTTTCATATTTTCACCTCCTCTTCTCCTCTCCATGCTTCGTTATCCTCTCCTCTACCTTCTCTGGGTTTTTAGGGGTTAACAACAATGACTTTTTTGGGGGGCCACATCACCTCATGTGTTTTATGTATCGCTCCTCCAGCTCCTCCCCCATCTGGCCCTCCCTCTACACTCACACCAGGAGGCAGCTCCACCCTGTCCAAGAAGAGACCTCCGCCCCCACCTCCTGGACACAAACGCACCCTGTCTGACCCACCCAGCCCGCTCTCTCACAGTCCACACAGTAAAGGGGGCTTGACTGGGGGTGAGACACAAGAACATGTCTAAAGTGTAAAGCTGGTTTCACTTGACTCCAGCCTGAAGTTCGATATTAGCATCTTTCAAAAGTGCAGGGTTATTTTAAAGTTCTTTATCAGGTCCAGAAAAAGCATGTAAGAGGACTTTGAGTAAAGACTAGTTTATCAAATGTTAAGATATTTCTTGAAGGTTTAAGGGTTTTTGATTTACAATCATACAAGTGGATGCCTTTTTATGTCTCTTTGTGCAATTTAAAAGTATATTAAATGGTAGTCTGCTTCATTACATGGATATGTGTAGGCCTCCAACTATTTCTTTTATGGATTAATCTGGTATTTTTTTGTTTACACTTATTTAAAGTCCAAATACAAGGTTTAAAAGTAGCAGATCCTCGCACTTGAAAAGATAGTACTAGAAAATTGTTGGCATTTTTTTTAACTGATTATCAAAATGGTTGCTGATTAATTTTCTGTCAATCCATAACTAATTGTCCTTTCAGATCTCGGTATGTGCTCCTCTCAAAGTAGAAACATATGCAACCAAACTTCTCCAAAGACCACCGGGTGTTTTTACCAAACTACATCTAACGATTCATACATCTTTAAAATGTTTTATTAGATTATATCAAACTTATAAACTTACACTCCACATGGTATTAATTTATTTTCTAAGTCCACATCTGTGGTTAAATTCTCAGGATCTTTTATGTGCCTATAAAGATGTTTTTCCACATTATATATTTATTTATTTATCATGTTTTCAAAGTATTTAAGTCTTAGCTTGGCGCTACATCCAAGTCATATATGATAGATGGTCATGTGACCATTAAATATACTGCACTTCATCTTCTTGTTTTAATTACCTTGAATGATGAGCATCCAAGTCAGAATGTGGATGTTAACATGGACACCATTTATGTGTGGGGAACTGACAATTACGATCACTTCAATATGAACGCACTGTCAGGGGGGATACAATTTACTGCTTTTATCCAATAAACATTCACAAGTAAAGCTCAGTTCACCAATAAACATACTGTCAAACTGCACAAAGAGACATGAGACATGAGTTTGACTCGGAAAAACAATATTTCAGAGGAATGAAATAATTTTTTTTAACTCTGGTTGAGCTACAATAAAAAGAAAAGTTGTCTTGTAACCACCACTTGGAGACAAAAGAAGACACCTCAGTCATCTTACCTGCAATCTCTTATCTCTTATGTGTACAATGGGGATATTATTACTGTTCTGCTTTTATCATTTGTCCTCTGTGGTGTTTTGTGCATTCTGTGTCACCCATACAGTAACACCCAACCACTAATTAAATGATGACACTTAATTGCACAACCTCCAAAATAACACGGGCTCATGGAAAGCTCAGCCAGATGACGCCTCCCTCATTGTTTTTTTTAAACCATCATAGCATGTTAATTTATCTCCACATTTTTATTAAATTAATCTCTTGATGAGTTCTCCGTGATGGTATTGAATAATCTTGTGTCATCATCAATGTCAATGTTTTAGGAAGCGACTCCACCCCTCCTCCTGTCAGCAAGATGTCTCCTGTTTCTAACAAGTTTGAAGGAATTCCTCAGCAGCAAAGGTAAAGAAGGTTCTAGGCTTAATTGGCCTGAAATTAATTGCATCACTCGCTGTAATAACATGTAGTCCAAGTTATGAGGTGTATGCGTCATCTTAGATACTGTTTTTTATTTAACTTTAACTAAAATCTTTTCCCAGCACTACTTCAAGCAACACAAAGTCTACACTTGGTCCAAGGGTTCTTCCCAAACTACCTCAGAAAGGTAAAGTCCTGGTCCAGTTGTCGGTGTAATTTTAGTTTTTAAATGTAAGATGTTAATAACATAGGTATTTCTCAACCTGGACCCTATTTTCCCTGCGTTTTTGTTACTAAGTGACTAATGGGAAAGACAAAAATGAAATTGGTTCAGTATTGAGTGAGCGTAACCACTAAAAGTCCTAGTTTTTGCCACTGACATGTCCAGATTATTATTCTAAGTGTTTGACGACATTATGAGAATGATCATAATGTCGTCAGTCAGTGGACATACATTGACAGTGCGTACATGGTCCCAGTGGTGACCTTGCAGCCTGTTTCATTGCGGCCCGCTGCAGTCCTGTTGATTAATACTGGACCAGTTTCAATAATTGTTGTTCCCATCAGTCACTCAGATACAAAAACATGGGAAACTAGGGTCACCATGAGTAACTGTATGCTTCACTCTCCAGTGGCATTGCGGAAGATTGACACCATACACCACCCGTCTATGGATAAGTCCAGCCAGCCTCCAGAGGTCTTCCAGAAGTCCCCGCCAGCAACCGACACTCCACAGAAGGCTCCACTGGCAGACAGGCCTCAGCTGGGAGACCTGCCCCCCAAACCGCAGCCGTCTGAACTTCCTCCTAAACCTGGAGAACTTCCTCCGAAGCCACAGCTCTCGGACCTTCCTCCTAAACCTCAGCTGGGAGACCTCCCGCCCAAACCCCAGCTCAAAGACCTGCCTCCCAAGCCTCATCTCGCAGACATCCCCCCGAAACCTGGAACAGCTGAGTCCGCTCCCAGGCCGCCTCCCGGAGAGGTGCAAAGGCCTCAAACGCAACCCCCACCTCCACCTCAAACTCAGCCTCAACCTCAGACGCAGCCTCAGCCTCAACCGCAGCCTCAGCCTCAGTCTCAGCCTCAGCCTCAAGACTCACCGTCACCTAATCAGCAAGCAAATATAGGTACTCCCACCCAACAAGCTGCTGAAGACACCAATGGGACACCAACAGGGACTGCAGAGACACCAATACCCCTCCCGAGGAAGATCAACACGGTATGAACATGCTTCTCTTTCTTCAAAGCTACTAAACTACTACTCTTTCCATATTGGTAGAGTAAATCTATGGATATATTTTTTATGCTTCATTCAACACCCAATGTCTAAATGATAGCATTCATCTCTGTAAAATACCACCACCACTTATTTGGTGGCATCTCAGCACACTGAACTGGCAGCTCTGGTTGTAGTTGCTGTGATCGTGGGCCAATCACACGTTACATTAAATCAAAGAATGCTTGCTGTGACTGGTTGCAAGCAAAACCATACAAATACACATTTTTTTCTAGATATGGGTACAAACAGCATGAAGGTATGGTTTGACTGGAGAAGTTCCATTAGCTCTTGGCACTGGGTCTGTTTGGGTGACACCTAAGGTACCAAGTACCAATACCCAGCACTACACATCAGTCTTTTTTCTGGGCAATTTTATAAAAGTAATTTATAAATAAATATAAATTACAGCCTGACCAACAATTTATGATTTTTGGATACCTTAGCTGCTAAATGCTAAAATAAAGTTAAAAAAAAAAAAAAAAAAAAAAACCTGAGAAGTTTTTGTTAACTACAGCCGCGTTCCATAAAAGTATTTTTATACACTTCATGAAGGATCACATTAACTTCCGCAATGACACAAAAACATTTTTACGCTTGCTTGAGGTGGTTTTTGCCTTTGTCAAAAAAATATTGATGCTCTAAATGGGATATGGAAAAGCCTTTGCCAAATAAGTTCTGATGTAGAGAACATTGACAACTCACATGACTGATCAGCTGTTTCTGCTGTCTGCTTTTCATTCGTGCATTAGAATCAATGCATTAATTTGCCTTTGTCTTCTCTTCGGACAGCATGAAACAAGGCCAGTACTAGCTGACATGAAAGAACAATTACGTAAAACTTGCCCAATTGAAACAAATTCCTGAAGACCTCTCTTCATTATTTCCTTATAGATGGGTTTGATGGCAAAGGTGATTCATTTTGTGTCCAGTATGCAGCCTCTACTTCCTGTACTCCATTTACTGGGGGATTACAGCCATGTGTAAAGCTTAGACTATAACGCCAACTTCTGACCAAACTCCACCTTATGGAGCCAAATTAATTTGCTCTAAACCACTTGACTGAAAAGCATCTAACAGCATGTTCGCACTGACGCAGAAGTGCCCCAATATGTCAGTGCATATTTTATCATTTATCATAATCAGATCACTTATATCATATCTAATTTATCCTTTATATTGTTCACGATAGATTATCAGTGTGGGTTTATTGCCAGATTTGCTTGCAGAAAAAATAGTCCAGATGGCAAAACTATTACTGCAGACTGCAAGTCAGCCACAGAGATCGGTTTGGGGCCCTGGCATGTCCTGTGTGAACAGCCCAACTGATTAACAGTGCAGCCCCACTATACCGGATTAGAAATTTGCTCCCATTCATTGTGTATCGGAATCGACTGATTTGCTGCACAAAGCACGCTGGAATACCTGCGATGCGGACCAAGCTGGCGGTGCAACAAAAGGGCGCCACGATTTAAAAAGCTGAAACCGGCAGGGCTGGGCAGACAGGGCCAGTGGGGCTGCACTGTAACATGGGCGCTGAAAGGAAGCAATCAGTGCACCAGTGTGAACCTGGCGTAATTTGCTTTTCTTTTTTGCGAGACTTAAGAAGTTTGCTTAAAATGAGCTTGACCATTGAATAGAAATAAGACTTATAATAACAGTTTTGTTATTTACATGTCCAGGGGAAAAGCAAAGCCCGACGGGTGAAGACGATCTATGACTGCCAGGCTGACAATGACGACGAACTGACTTTTGTTGAAGGAGAAGTGATTATAGTTACAGGAGAAGAGGACCAGGAGTGGTGGGTGAGTCCAGCTTCAATACTACTCCATGTTCCTCCACTTTCTTTCTAGCACTTCACAGTCCTCTTTGAACCGTGTCAAGGGAACAAAACCAAACACTGAATACCTTCTTACTGTTTTTCACACATGCTCTCTTTATACTTCCAGATCGGGCACATTGAAGGAGATCCAGACAGAAAAGGGGTGTTCCCCATGTCTTTTGTGCACATCCTGAGTGACTGACAGCCAGAGAGACTTGCACTACACCTCTCCCTAAATTGGGAGGTCCTGTAAATAGCTATCATAACACCTCTTGTCACACGACAAGTGTCCTAAAGAAAAAAAAAACAACAAATCAACAACGAAGAAGAAACCCAAGAAGGCTCATCTAGCCATGGATGCCTCATCCATGCTGTACAAAGAATGTGTGTATTCTTCCTTTACCAGTATTATCTTAACCCTATAGCACGGCTCAGACGAAGCCACTCTCAAACCCTAGCACTTACCTAAAGTCTATGTTTATGCTGTTACTGTGTATATATGTATGTAAATATATATATTTGTGTGTGAGTGTATATACATGTTTTATTGTACAAAACATGTACCATTGCTCTCTCTACCTGTCAGATTAAGCATCAGGGCGGTAGACTTTGAATTTTATCTGTATTGATTTTACTGGCCCTCATGAAATTATCAGCTTATATTTCTGGAAAAAGGACAAACATGAAAAGGAATGTGAAATAGGTCATGTCACTCTTTGTGTCTTGCATCCCTGTTTACCACCATAATTGACTGAAGAGGCTGGAGTCTCCCACTGATCTTCCCCCGAGCTGAAAACATTAAATGTACTCCTTGTTCTTGCTTGCTTTGTGTGTACACGTATTATGGTTGTTTTACAGTATAGAAACCTGCTGCTACTGTGTGGTGGAATATCAAAGCCTGTGGTTCACTGTAGGTCACTAATTTACTCCTTGTTACACTGTTCACTGTGTGTATGCTCTGTGTGTGAACTCGACGCCATCTCCACAGTCCTTTGACCTTTTCTGTGCATGGTGTAACAATGACTGGAATTGAGTGGAGTGCTGCGTTCAAGGACGCTCACCTCAGGGTTTGAAGAGCCACTATTGAGCAGGACTACACAAAAAGAGGTATCCTGTTGTTAAAGCCACTATTAATGACAAGTGCGGGAAACTCAAGAGGACATCTTAGCAATAACTTGATTTTCTGACAGGCTAGAAATTTCAACCTGTGTTCACAATTCAGTGTCTTGTTTAAAAAAACAAAAACAAAAAAAAAAAACCTCATGAGCTTGAAATTTTTAAGTTTGAGTCATGTAATATCATTCCATGTTACTGGATCCGATGCGTTTCCAGGTTTGCCTGTGAAGCAGAGATGTCTTTTAGAAGCACGGTGGACTTTGTAAAAGGCTGGAGAGCCGATGTATTTTCACCCAGTCCTCACTGACTTGCAGTTTTACCCATGTTAAGGAACAAACCCATCAACCCATTGTATCATTAAAAGTGCTGTACTTCAACTCCGAGCCTGCTCTGTTGCTTTATAGCCATTATTCCATGTGGTGTTAAGATCTGTTTGTGCCTCCCTTTGGAATTCAGTCTCTGGTATGAGAGGCAAAGTGCATTTTTAAGCAGCTTATTGAAGTTACCGTTGGACTCAAGAGAAAGACATGGTAGATGTTTTGGGAAATATGCTTATTTGCATTCTAGAGAGAAAATCAATACCACTCTTATATCTGTCTGTTCAATGCAACCAGGGTCATGCAATGGTGGATTGTAGTTGAGTACAATTTTGAAGCAGTTTTATGCCGCTTTACATTCTATACTTCATTATAGATATATAACTTTTTCTTCTTCTTTTTTTTTTTTTTTTAACTTCTAGTACGTATTGCAGCTGCCCTTCCAAAGTCTGTACTGTTGCATGGAGTATGCATACAGTTGGGACAAACATTAAATTTATCGTTATAGACTACCCAAAAGTGAGTAACTTCAAACAATTATAACAGGAAGTACTGCTTATTATTACATCAATTGTCATTTTGTTGCCATTACTTGCAGGTCATTTACTTATCAGGTGGTGTTTCTCAAAGTCAAGGATCCTTCCTTGGTAGGACAAGTCCTTCCAAGGAAGGATCCTACAGAGGCAAGGAAAGAGTCTGTCCTAACATTCGATGAACTCACGCGCGTGCCCCCAGGAGAGCGTCATTAACCCTCCGGGGACAGAGGGGGTTCAAGGGAACTGTGATAATTTTGGCACTCTAATGTCGTACTATTTGAACAAATGTAAGCAGTATTTTCAGAGTCATGTGACTTTAAGTGAGAATATAGCCTATTTCTAGATTATGCTTAAAAACAAAACAAACTAACAGGTAGGCTAGATTAAACCCTTGTAAAAAGTAGTTTTAGAATTCTGCTACCATGTGTAAAAAACAAAACAAAACATGACCTTAGCCACTTAGCACTCCATCCCTGCTGTGACTGATGAATTCAAAAACTGGTTTTATCTAAATCACATTTTAAAAAATCTCATTTGGCAGTGGACACATTGGAAAATGAGGTTTCTGTCAATATTTTTTTCATGCTTTTATAATAAACACTCCTGCAGATATTATCCCAAATAAATGACATGTATCTAAATCCTACCAAGCTGACACTGAAGCAGCCCCACCTTTACGTCCAGCAAATTGTACACAAAGAATTGTGGGTACTTTCTATCAGCTGAGGATACACACATGCAACCCTGAAAACTGTCTTAAGGGTTCAGTCCCCAGTAGAAATTTGAAGGATCCTTGACACTGGAACGGTCCTAAGGTGGGACTTCATGACATCCTTATAATTCAGCCATTTAAGGATCTGTCCTTGACTTTGAGAAACACCCAGGGAGTCATTTCATACTATGGTGTTTCAACACCATGTAGCCTGTGGGAAATTTTAATACTTTTGCCACTGTATGCATCTGATTCAGCTAAGGCCACAGCTAGCCGCCATTAGCTTAGCACAAAGCTCTGACCAGTTGTAATAAGAGTAAAAGCTCACCAACATGTTTGTTTTAACCCGTAACAAACCATAGTGTGAAAGTTTGTTTTTTTTTTTAAGATATTTTTTCGGCATTTTAAGCCTTTAATTGATAGGACAGACAAGTGTGAAAGGGGGAAAGAGAGGGAGTGACATGCAGCAAAAGGGCCACAGGCTGGATTTGAACTCAGGCCGCTGCGCCTGCTCTACCACCAAGCCACCGACACCCCCATAGTGTAAAAGTTTTGTGTGAGGACTTACTGCCTGAAGTCTCTGCTGGTTGCTTGGCAACTGCTCAGATTTGCCATTTACCTAGCAGCAGCTTTACATTTAACCCTACAGGTATAAGTGGCACACTTTTGTATTTCTAGAAATAGCTAACTGTTCCTATAAGGAGGAAAAACCATGGTAAAGGCTGACTACTGTAGTTTCAAATTCTTTTACACACCTTGCTGTGCAAAAAAGACAAAGTATTTGTTTCTACATTAACAGTAAAGAACATTAAAGACAAAAGTTCATCTCCAAATAATTCTTTATTTTGTTGGGTCAACAATTCACATAAACCAAAGTATACCATCCAACTCTACAACTTCTTTTGGATTTAACATTAACACAGGAATACATCACTTTTAAGACAACATAAATACTTTGTGTCACAACACAAATTGTGTTTTACCAAATAAAACTGTTCAAAGCATCCATACCAGAATGTACTGGTAACCAAAAACAAATTATTTACACACTTGGGCTTTGTGGAGAGGTTTTGACCCTTTGTCCTTCTCCACTGACTTGATGACACCCACAGCGACTGTCTGCTTCAGGTCTCTTGCTGCAAAGCGACCTGAGGAGAAAAACAATGAGTTGTTAAACACTGCGGAACATGGGTGACATTTATTTTACATTAAGACTGAAGTGGATTTATGTACCTAAGGGAGGGTATGTGAAGAAGCTCTCCACACACATGGGCTTGATGGGAACCAGTTTGACTGTAGCAGCGTCTCCAGACATCAGTATCTGCGGGTGGTCCTCCACTTTGTTTCCCGTGCGCCGGTCAAGCTTCTCCTTCAGCTCGGCAAAGCGACAGGTCACATGGGTGGTGTGGCAGTCCAGGACAGGAGAGTAGCCTGTTTTTATCTTCCCTGGATGGTTCAAGATGATCACCTGAGGACAGAAACAAAATGTCAGCACAGGGAGGGCCACTACACATTAAGTAAACATTTTAACACCATTGAACCCACCTGAGCTTCAAAGCTGCTGACATCTGATGGAGGATCCTGCTGAGCGTTGCCAGCCACATCCCCACGCCGCAGGTTCTTGACAGCCACGTTCTTAATGTTGAAGCCAACATTGTGTCCTGGCAGAGCGGCCTGCAGCCCCTGGTGGTGCATCTCAATGGACTTCACCTCAGCGGTGATCTTGGCGGGGGAGAACAGGAGGGTCATGCCAGGTTTGAGGACGCCAGTTTCAATCTTACCTACTGGCACAGTCCCAACTCCTGAGAGGATGAAAAAACAAGCATTTTAAGTCAACTCCAGGTGTTAAAATTAAAGTTTAAAGCCATTTTATCAGCCAACAAACATTGTGACATTGCTTTTCTTCCCCTACTCTGCTCCCTCTGCTGCACCTGCATCTCATTGTCTTAATGGAGCTCATCAATTAAGCTCACAAGCTTGGAAACAGAGTCAAGGCAACTTAAAAATTACATTAAAATTAAGGTTGAGCATTTCTAACCCCCAATTTTGTAGACATCTTGCAGAGGTAATCGAAGGGGCTTGTTGATGGTGCGCACTGGTGGTTGAATGGAGTCCAGGACCTCTAGAAGAGTTTTCCCACTTGCACTCCCCTCCTTTCGTCTGGATTTCCAGCCTTGGAACCAGGGCATCTGTGGAGACATTACTTTAGTTCAATGTGTTGCATGTCCTTTGCAGATATTCTAAATTTAAAACCATAGTTACCTTCTGAGTTGCAGTGATCATGTTCTCCCCAGTCCAGCCAGAGATGGGAACAAAAGGCACAGTCGTGGGGTCGTAGCCAATCTTCTTGAGGAAGCCACTCACGCCTCGCACCACTTCGTCAAAGCGTTTCTGGCTGTAAGGCGGTTCAGTCAGATCCATCTTGTTCAAACAGACGATGATCTGCTTGACACCCAGAGTGTAGTCCAGCAGGGCGTGCTCTCTGGTCTGACCACTTCTAGACACACCAGCCTCATATTCTCCTTTAGCTGCAGAGACCACCAGGAGGGCGACATCAGCCTGAAATTACATTTATGGTATAGGTATAAAAAACCAAAAACACTTAAGTATACAATTAATATGCACTTTATGCTGCTTACCTGTGAAGTCCCTGTTATCATATTTTTGATGAAGTCACGGTGGCCAGGAGCATCAATTATTGTCATGGTGTATTTTTGAGTGTTGAATTTCAGCAGAGATATGTCAATGGTGATTCCTCGCTCCCGCTCAGCTTTCAGCTTGTCCAGCACCCAGGCAAATTTGAAGGAACTCTTCCCCATCTGCCAGAGAACATAAAACAAATCTTGTAACATGTTTTAAACAGTTTGAAGCAGCAGCTTTCTCCCTTCCTCACCTGTGCTGCAGCTTTCTCAAACTTCTCCAGTCTCCTCTGGTCGATGCCCCCACACTTGTAGAGGAGGTGGCCGGTGGTGGTCGACTTGCCACTGTCGACGTGACCGATAATCACCACATTAACATGAGTCTTCTCTTTTCCCATGGTTGAAGGTGGGTTTGCGAACCAAACAATTTGACTGTAGGCTTCTGAGATGAAATGACCACGTTCACGCTTCCAGGTTCTTTTGTAAAATGAATGTGGCCAGCCTCTAAGGCCTGACTTTATAAGCTCCACCTGGCCTCACAAGACTCTTGATTAAACACAGGAGTGCTGCTCAATTAAGCTTAATTGGTGGCTGATGCCTGTGTGGATGCTGTTCAGTATCAAAGTAGCTTGAACACCAAAAAAATAAAATGCTGGAAAGCTAAAAAATGCTTGCAATTTGTTTTTGTGTGTGTACTGCAATGAGAAAATTAGATTATTGTTTTATGTGAACTACAGTGAGAAGGATTAAATTATCTTTCATCATTGCAGCAACAGGCAGGTACAGTCCTTCAAAGCTCTCCACTACGGATCAGTTAATGACCTCAAAATACAACCAGGTGTGCCATTCAGAGGTGGCCGACTTTGAAGAGTCTAATAAGTAACCTCTGCCTATGTATCAAAGGAACTATGACGCATTAAAGCACTGAACTACTACAGGGAAATATTAAAGAGACTGCTGACTGTAGAGGTTCAAATGTGTGCTCGTGCATATTAAATAAGAAAATGAGGAGCTTAATAAAGATAAATCTGCCATCACAGATGGTGCAAACAGACAAAAACTACAGTCTCTACAGAGGTGAAAGCCCTCTAATAAATGTCTCATTTCATCTTCTACAACTCCAAATTAAAATTACAAACATATGTTTGCATATAAACTTTGAATCCTTCTTTC